ACAACGGCCTTCTTAACGGAAGTAGGAATTGCCCCCCCCCCCCTCTCTCTCTCTCTCTCTCTCTTTCCCTCCCTCTCCTACCTCCCACTTACTACTCCGTGATTCATGCGTTCTCAGGTGTTCTGACCAAGAAAATCGAGTTGGTTACTATTATGAAATCATCAAAGAATTCAAGGAAAATTCATATATAGTTTGGGAAACTACGAACCTTAATTACTTCTATTGCATTAATAGAGAATTATTAACAAAATGTTAATAGCAATTTTGTGAAACGTAATCTATATATGCGGATATAGATTCTCTTATTGTACTTACAAAAGATTGCCGTATTCCTATTATTTATGCAGTTACAGTGACTGTAGGTACATATTTTACGTTCTAAGGATTGTGCACATGGCACACACGACTGGCAATAGTGACTTCTTGTTGGTAGTATGTAATTAGGTCACCAATAGCGTGGCAAGCAACGCAAGGAACAAACACGCAATTTGCGCTTGGAAAAGAGAGCGAAGGTGAACGAACATATAATAAAAATCTAATTAATGGCACGAATCTCTGTCGTGATAGCATAAGACGTGTACTTAATATGTACTTAATATGTTAGGTTGTCAGAAATGACGATAATGGGAATGCAAAACAGACCGACGTACTACATATTTCGCGCAATATAGGAAGTGACTCTGAAGGAATGAAACCTCACGACTTTTGTATCGGTATCTTTCGGTTATAATTTCATTATTCGTAGATAAAATTTAATATAAATCGGTCTTTCTTTTACAAAAATGTTAAATTATATATAGAGACAGATGTCCGATTACAAATGGAGCAAATTTGGAGTAGCTTGCGGATAAATAAAAGCTTATTCAGTTCCTTATTCTTCAGTTTCAAGTAAACTTTTGCAAAATTCTTAGGCCCGGTTGCACCAACGTCGCATAACATTTAATCTTAGCTTAACTCACTCTTCGTCTCTTTCTAACTGTCCCCCTTAGAAACGTTGGTGCTACCGAACCTTAAACTTTATAAAAAGACTTGATTATTAATATGTTTGATATAAAAATTTACAAAAAAAAACAGAGAACTAGAACGGAAAAGTTTCTGTTGAATTTATACGATAACGAAAAAAAAATGACTTTGAATTAACTGAAAATTCGCAGAAAAGGATAACCTGGAATATCTTGTATATATCTGGATATTCTACACATTACTATGTGACGAGAAGAGAAAAAACGCCATGAAAAAGATGTTCTAAAAAAATTGCTCTGTTTAACAAAGGTATATTTTACAAATCGCGATAGTGTCAAAATAACGGCAGAAATGGCTTTGAGAGCAGAGTATTGAGAGAGAAAGAAAGAGAAAAAGAGAAAGAGAGAGAGAGAGAGAGAGAGAGAGAGACCAGAGCATGGAAAGAAATCTAGGGAGAGAAATAGGAGAGGGAAGAAAAAGAAAGGGAAACTCTGACGGAGGAAGAAATACACGTGACCACTCTACGCAAACTCATCCCCGTTCGATACCGACACTTTAAAATCACTATTACGTTTCTCTATTTCCTTATTACACATTTTCATTTTTTAAGGAATAAAAATTATCTCTCCCTTCTTTCTCTCACTGTAAACGCATCTGCCCGAATATTGAAAGGACATGTTTGGAGCATACGCACGACGATATGTATCGCGTTTAAATATTCATATATCTTAATTTAAAATTGTATTTAAGCAATTTATGAAATGTAAGTTGTTGGCATAAGATATACAATATTAAATTAAACATTTAAAAAATGCAGTTTCAGGTCTTCGAAAAATGTTAAAAAAAAGTAGGTGTACCTCAAATTTTGAAAAATTTTATCTAGAAGAAAATTGTACTGGAGATATCTCTCTCTCTCTCTCTATCTCTCTCTCGGTACAATAACTTTGATTAAATATGTTCTAAATAATTATTAATTTCGCAGATAATTGCAGAATTGTAGAAACATTAAAAAGAGACACACATGCTTTATTTTCTTAAAAATGATTTAAAAACTTATAAAATTAATACGGAAAAATTATCTCGAATAATTATCTTGAATAGTCAAATCGTCGCTTTGCCCCCTTCCCTCCTTCGCTTCTCGCTTTCTTTCTCTTTAGCTAATCAAATTGTAAAGTGAGTTGTACATTTCAGAATACTGATCTGGTGAAAAGTTAGTTGAGGTCAATCGGCATGCAAAGGCCAATTGTTTAATGGAAGAATCATGCATAAGTGCATAAGCTCTATAGCCACTTTGGTGTATTAAAGAATAATCCAACATATAGTTGGCGATCGAAGTAACTGGATCGTAATTGCATCAAAGTGCATCGTAATACACAACGAGTTAAATTGGTCACACCTTTGAAGTAACGGAAGGGTGTGATCCATAATGCCGAATGACGTAAGACAAAATAAAATTGCTTCTCATCCATTGCACTCATAAACTTAACAAGCAATCAGATGATAGAATAGATAAGAAACATTTTTATTTGTTAGTTCTTTTCTATAAATTGCAACATAATTTTAAATTGTACGATATTATAAATAAGTATTTAGTACTGTATATAAAATGTTGGAGCAAGGCAAATCATACAATTTAAAATCATAAAATTAAAATATATATAAATTTATATATATATTATTCCTAAGGGGCAAAGGGAGGAAGGAGAGAAAAGAGCGCTCACCGCTCAAATACAATTTTGCGTTGCGTGCGGCCTGCTTTAAGAAATTGATCTGGGCCAGATACACACAACGTCCTCGTCGTCGTTGCGTCGTCGTCAGCAACATTACATGGAGTATTCTTATAAATCATTATTATATCACAGCTCTCTAAAAGTTATTTTTGAAAATCTATATTCCGACACATTTATAGCGGCACGCTAAATTCTATAACCGCATTATTAGTATATTGTATTTTTTACTCTTTTTTAATCCTATATGACTTGTATAAAACGTGTGCGTGTATGCGTGTATGTGGGTGAGTGTGTGTGCGCGCGCGCGCGCGCGCTTATATGCGTTTTCTGACGGTTATTTTAAAATATTATTCATAGATAACAATTTCAAAATACGATAGCAATAATAGTATATGGTTATTGACAACTGGTTATTCGTATTATTAATCCGCATATGAGAACGAAGGAAAGCTCGAAATGCAATCTTTTTTTCAATTTTTGTTAAATTTCTTTTGTACTAAAGAAAAGATATATGTCATAGATTTAAGTCCATATATTCTGTATTTTATTCCTCCTAATTTAGATATTATCATTATATTCTCATTAATACTTATTCGCATAATTATTAATTAATTAGTTTTTACTAATCTTGTCGTATTGTTTTTACATTTTTGCATTACTGTAAAGAAGATAAATAACAAAGATTTTAGAAGCTACAGAAGTTTAACATTAAACGTACTTTTACATTTGTCATAAATATAAATATGTCATTTCTCATGCGTGGTGAACATCGGCGAAAGGAAATAAAACGCCAGAATGTTCGCATTTGTAGCGCGATGAAGTCGGTCGTGCTTTGAAGAAGACGTATTTACAACGTCAGTCAAGTTCACGAGTATCGAGGTTGTTACCAGCTAGCGCTTTAATCGGATGTGATTAACACACACTTTCACTATCTACGAAACGTGTTCCTGTACTTTCTCTTATCAAGATTACATCAACTATTACATCAATTTATTTTATCTAAAAAAAATTCATAAATCATATTATTTATGAAAGTGGAAATTAATAAATAATTTTCGATATGCGATATACATATCATTTAAACAATAATTGTTTGATTTATCCTTTCTGCAATAATCGAACTCCCGTGATGAATCGCACAAAGATCTCTTACCTTGAAAGTCTTGTAGCTGGACACTACGTAAGAGGCACCGTCCTCAAGTTCGTCGAGATGGATCTTTCGATCACCGTCCATCGAAAAGATGTGGCGCGCCCCTCTCGGCAAATCCATCCGAAGAGACAATCTATCCAGTAGAGCCTCCAAAGAACCAATGTCACGGCCAGGTTTAAATCTGAAAATATTCAGAGACTTCTCTAAAGTATAAATATAGAGTAATGTAGAGTTTCAACGCCTTTCGAGACATCCTTTTGAAATCCTTTGATCAATTTCGATTAAATTTCAATCATCAATCAATCAATCATCAAAGATCAATTCAATTAAATTTTCCCTTAGAAGTATTATTAATTACATTATTGTAAAATGAAAGAATAATATAAGATTGAAGACTTTAATTAATGCCACAAAGCTAATATACAAAACGTGAAACGTTTTAATCTTCATTCAGATTTTAATTCATATAATTCAATAATTTGACGATTGAATGCGTTTAAGCAAAATTTATTTAAATCTAAATATAATTCACTGCAAATAAATGTTATCCTTTTTAGAGTAGGGTCCTTTTTCGTCGTGACAATGCTTTTGCGTCGACGATGCTTGATGCTTTTACATTAATTAAATGCATTTTTATAAACCTTCGATTAAAATATTAATTAGAATGTTAGTCAACTAAATAAACATATTGTTCAGAGACATATTGGCATTCATCGTGTATTTCTCTTTTTGTAAATATTTTTCAATTTTTTTATATATCTTTCACCATTCTTTCAAAAAAGTTTTAAAGAAGAAATTTGATTCTTTCTTCTTTCAAAATAATTTTTATTAAATTTTGACACAATAAGAGACACTTAATTAATATCATCACGTTTGTGTATAAACCATTAATCAGTATTTTTAAAACATGTATGCTTATATAGATTCATTCAAAATGTTGAAAAATATTTTTGTAAAGTTTTATTTCATCTTACACGTGCATTATTTATTCAAAATATTAAGTTATTATTTTGTGTGTGTGTGCGCGCGCGCGCACACTCTCACCTCGAAATACACACACACACGTACGTACGTACGTACGGACGGACGTATGTATAACTCGCGCACACGTGTGTGATTAATTTTTTATATTATATCACATCAATATGTTAATCATTTTCTTTCAATCTCTGAATAAAATTTGACAGTAATTACTTAAACAATTATTGAGTATGTGTTTTATGTTACTGAAACAAAAGAGAGATGTATATATAGAACAGCGAAAAAAATAAGAAATTATCTATATTTGTTATGCTTTCTGTGCCATTATGCCTTCAGATTAGGAAGAGAAAGATGTTTTTATCTTAATTGTGTGAGATAAGCATAATGAATAAAATGTTACGATATATAATAATAAGTTTAGCAAGTATGTTTCTCGATTTTAGGCTTTTTCAGGCTTCTTGGTTCGGTTAGAGGTATTGACCGAAACGATGCTTACCTGAACTCCACTCCTGGAAAGTAGGGATCGCCATTTTTATAAAAGGTGACTCTTCTTGCTCGCCAGTAGCCGAGGTTGTTATATCTCGCGGCTTGTAGCTCGTGCCGGCTCTTGGGTCGGCTCGGCTGCTCCGACTGCTCCGGAGGCGGCATGCGGGGACTGGAGGGTCTGCTCTGCCTCCAGTAGCCGGCCATGCCGCCTCCACCCCCACCTTCACCACCGACCAACACACCCCCGACCTCTTCTTGCGTCGTCATTCCACCCTCCACTGCGATTCCACCCTCCACGTCCCCGTCCTCCTCCTCCTCCTCCGCTTCCTCCTCTTCCTCCTCCTCCTCCTCCTCTTCTGCCTCCTCTTCCTCTTCGTCGTCCTCCACCGGCATCGTCGATGCCGCGGTGGGCGTCGCGATGCCCGCGGCGACACCGCCCTTGGATGAATTCTCGTGAATCCGCGACGTTTCTTGCTCCTCTTTCTTCATCGCATCTGAATGAAGTAGAGTCGGAATTTTTTGAAGCTGACTTAATTGTTAGCCAAATATCTGTATCGCGATCATCCCTAATCTTAAATTTTGCCTATTATTAACCATCCGTACTTTTGTAAATAAAATTTTCTTTTTTGCACTGCCTTCCCACACTACTACAGTTCTTGCCTAGAATAAAAATGACTAACTGCATGATTATCTCGATGATTATCCACACGACGTTATCATTTCACGCGCGTGCCAATAATGCTTTAGACTTTTTAGAGATTAAAAAAGGAAACGATTGAGGAAAGAGTTCAAAGTAAGAAGACTGCTTGAGATCTGAGTTCAGAATATCGAGTTCAATTATATGTATAAAGTTCAAGTATATAGAGTCCAAGTTAATGTATGTGAGGTAACTGTCGAGGATCGATTCTCGTTCACGTGCGTGATTGAAGCAGGTATACTTGAGAGCAATCTGGCTCTCTCTCTCTCTTTATCTCTCTCTCTCTCTCTCTCACCTGCGTCCTCCACTGTCGTCGCAGTTGCAACAGCTGTTTGGTCACCAGACTCGCGGTCACCACTGTCAACCTTGTTACCGCCGCCAGCGACGAGGAGATCCTCGTTCTGCTCGCCCTGTCTGCTGGCACGCGAATCCGGCTGATTTTCAGTCTCGATCATCCGCAAAGCGAAGCCGCCGCCACTTCCGCGCGTCCGCTTACTCGACCAGTACTCTTACGATTGCAGAAAAAGATTCCAGATTCTCAACGGATAGAAAAAAGTTGAATTTTGTACGTCAGGACCTAGGTGTTTGCAACCTGAGTGAGGAACAAATTTATTACAAAGTTAAAAAGATTAGTTAAAAACTATAAAGGAATTAAGAATTGAAATGTATAACAAAGGTGAAACAAATTGTTAAAATGTGATGACAGATATTAATTTTACTGAAAGAGAGACTTAATGGACAATCAGAATGAAGTAAAAAAAGAATACATCTCGTCAAATATTGTTACAACTACAATTCCATTTACATGCAATTATATAGCAACTCTGCAATGTATAATTGTACGATCAACAGATTTTGCATCATTGAGTCTATAGTATTCTAATCGCGTCTACAATATCGAAAAATTAAAAAAAAATATATATATATACAGGGTGTCCCTGAATGTTTGATACTTTAATATTATGAATTGTTATAAAAATGAAGGAGTATTTGCCTTTGTATTCCCGATATGTAAACATTATACATACATATATCATCGAGCGAATGAATTTACCTGGAAAATTAAACGCCGATTAGAGCGCACCGCAAACGCTATAATGGGGCTCGTTGTGAACGACGTTTTTTGACATTTCAAGGTTCCTTACAATTATGTAGATCGGATCACATTGCACGAATCGCCACTTTGAGAATATTGTGAGTGCTGGCCAGTCGATCACGTATTGCGTGATAGCCAACGGGATTCCCGATCGATCGGCCGTTTTTATTTCGCAACTGCAGCTCCCACTGCAGGTCCATCGATCAGCAACTCGGACAATATACACATATGTATATATATATTTTGTCAACTCTCATACGTCGCCCCTTTACGCTCCTGTTACGGTTACGGGTGGGTGACTGACTGACTGACTGACTGCGACTACTGATAGTACTGATATATACATGGTATGCTATAATCGTAATATCTGTTTAGTTTTCGGATCTTACCGCGATTTTAATAACGATAACGTTAATTTTGTCTGAGTTCTGGCTTTATATGCCTTTTATATAGTTATAGTATTTTTGTAATCAAGTCAAGTCGGCCGCGATATAACTCGAAAAACTATCCTCTGCTAGCCAGCACTCACAGCAGCCCCTGCATCTGCAATAATCTGCATCGCGCATAGCGCATAGTGCACAGTGCATAGTGCATGCATGAGACTCATGAGACATCACGCCGTTGACGGTTGACGCCGTGCGTGACACACCATTCTCGAATGCAAAACAGTACCGGGTGCTTTCCGCAATGATTTATACGCTCGTTTTTTATCTCGTTCAATCTCTGTGTTATTTAGCGACTATTTTGCCATGTGACATGTCGATAACAACGATAAATCGATGCAAAAGCGTTATTGTTTCATGCAAACATATTATCATTATTAATTCACACTCACAATCAGTTCAATAAAGTCAATAGAAGGAAAAATTTTATAGTAATATTTTAGACGAATGTCTACTTTCTTTTGTTTGAAAATATAGATTTAAGACACTAAACAATTTAAATCGCATATTGAAATTTCACATCCATAATTGTATTATTTTTCATTAAAAAAAAAAACGATATCTATTTTATAAAAATTACTCGGATTACGGCATTTACATTTTGCCCTTAGTATTCATATGTTTTGTTTTTCCTTTTTTTTTACTAATTTTCTCAATATATTCAATCAAGTCTTTTTCGAGGGTAAGATTTATCTTTCTTTATTAAACATTGTTCAATTTAAATTGATTAAACTCATGTTTCTCTCCTTATCTAAATTTTTAGAAAAAAAAATTTATTAGAAATTTATTTTGAACTCCATTGTCAAAAAAAAGTAAAAAAAAGAAAAAAAAAGAAAAAAAGATTGAAAAACACAGGTTCTTGAAGCTAAGTCGATTATCTCGATTGATAGAGATCACTTCTGAACCGTATCATCACATTTATCGTTACGTTATAATCGTTAAACATTTTAAAAAAGTATAAAAGATATCAAAAGTGGAAACATATAATTATAATAGCATAGCTGTGTAACGGTGTAGTTTTAACATTTCATTTAGTAGATGTTAAGTATACGATAAACGATAAACTGCATTTTCTGCATTTAACTTGGTTCGATCCGATCAACTGCAATGGAAACAAAGCGAGACTCCGGACTCCGCTGAGGAAAAGCACTCAAGTTCACCAAAGTTCACTGACACTACGCCGCGCCGGCTGCGGCCGCGGTCGCGATCGGGCGATATAATGCTGGATAATGCCGATGATCGGGTGTATTATATCTCATTCGCGAAATCATTATTACGGCACGGCGGCGAGTTTATATTGACGCGGGCGCGGGAGTATGGCTCGCGCGGACGAGAATCACCTTATCGAAGTTGATTCGGCTGAATCGCGGCGATTGCGGCGGCAGTATACATATTCATGCGTCCTTCGACGATGGCGTCCCGACGTCGAGTGACCGCGCGCAACCTCAGCAACCTCGGCAACCTCAGCGTCCTCGGCGCCGTTCTCCGCCGTCTCCGTCGTCTCCGTCGTCTCCGTCGTTAGGCCAGTCAAATTAGACCAAAAAAAGGCTTCTGGTATGAAAGTGATGCGAACTTTTTTATTCCTTTTTAGGCGTGTTAGGGGTCTTTAGAAAAGCTTATTTTTGAGTTGTCGTATCATGTGACCCAGAGCTTTTTGAGGGGGGAAGGAGAAACTAATTTTTGACGAATCGGAACGAGTCACCGTTCATTTTCTTCGTTTTTTCAAGCCCTACAACTTTCTCAGAAGCGAAAAAGTGCTATCTATTAATCAAAACAAGATAAATGCAAAAAACCGCAAAAATTTTATTTTTCGAGGGAACCAAAATTTTCGTTCTTTCGCAATAACTCAGCGAATGTTGATAAAAAATGAATGACTAACCCCTCAGCTACAAAATGAAGGGTTAGTCATTCATTCTTTATCAACATTCGCCGAGTTATTGCGAAAGAACGAAAATTTTGGTTCCCTCGAAAAATAAACTTTTCGCGGTTTTTTGCATTTATCTCGTTTCGATTAATAGATAGCACTTTTTCGCTCCTGAGAAAGTTGTATAATAGGGCTCGAAAAAACGAAGAAAATGAGCGGTGACTCGGTCCGATTCCTCAAAAATTAGTTCCCCCTCCCCCCTCCTCAAAAAGCTCTGGGTCTCATGATACGACAACTCAAAAATAAGCTTTTCTAAACACCCCCAACACGCCTAAAAAAAAATAAAAAAGTTTGCATCACTTTCATACCAGAATGTCTAATTTGACTGGCATACGTCGCTCTTCGTTTACTGACACGGCCGACGTCTGTGTGGCTTAGCTGTGGCCTGTGCTCTGTGCTCTGCGTTTGGCAACCGGCGACCGGCGACCGGCGTACGCGTCTGAACGCAAGGCGTCGTCGGCGTCGATCGTCGATGCCGATGCCGATACCCCGTGCCCCGTGTCAGTGAACGCAGAACTTGTTGCACCGATAATAAAATTTCAAAGAAACGAATCGGCGCTTTCGGCGTTTTCCTAAATTGTGAATAAAGCAAATAATTTCCGATAATCGCGTATGACATATGATGCTTCCCAACAGAGAGCGACACGACTCTTTACAAAGTAGTACACTACTTCCACTAGTTCCACGTTTCGACTTTTCCAAAATATTTGCGTTATATTCCTTCAGTTATCGCAAATTTACAAAAACATAAAAGATTGAGAAATTTATGCGATTAATTGTAACGAATTATCTAGTGACTATAAAGTCGCAGTAAATAAAGTAATGTAAGATCCAAGGGCTTGGATCTGTGTACCTTATTATTGTCTTATAATATAGGTATGTATATTAAAGCTGTATTAACGAAAGAGAGAGAGAGAGAGAGAGAGAGAGAGAAAGAAAGAGAAGCATACAAAATACACGATTCGTTTGCGAAATAAATATTTAAAACACAAAAGATTTTCAACTCTTTCCTCAAAGCCTAAACATTTCGATCGTTTCCTCGCAAGTTGCTTAAAAACTGCTATTGACAATGAGATATAAATCACTGAGAGAGAGAATCACTAGTAATAAATTGATGGATAAACAAGTGTAAGAATGTCATGAAAAAATCGATATCTTTGATCGAAAGGAAAGAAGGAAGGTGTAAATTGAAAGCATTTTTCTACCTTTGAGATATAGCTGCGAGTAATAAAACTACATTACAACGTCGAATTATGTACATTTATTACGATTACGTAAAGAGTTCTTAACTCTTATTGTTAATCGAATCTTAACACAAAAATTAATAAGGTAGGTATTGAAAAAAATTAACGTACGTATATGAAAACAGTTTTGGCGCCAGTTCTAACGTGTAATAGTTTCAGTTTCTCCAACACTTCATAATCGATATGTTATACCTAATATACTTACTATTATTTTAAGTTTTAAGTTATAGCTCTAATAGACAATATTTCTCGACATTTCGTGTCGTGTCGTGACTCACGCGACGTGATTCTAGCAAGTTAAGTAACGTGTGTACCTCGCGCAGTGAAGGGCCAAGTTAGAAAACTGAATCATAGTTTATCGCATAATTATATCAACCAACGTCTATATACCTAATACCCTATACCTATACATATATATCAGAAAAGGTTTTTTCACCGCAATTATACGTATATATGTATACCTCGGCATAATCGACATGCTTATCGGTTGACTTTAAGCAGGCCAACAGGCTTCCATGTTACCATGTCGCGAATTGCTGATAAAACGAGTACTTGTATTATGTATACATATATATATGTGTGGTGTGTGTGTGTGTGTGTGTATAGAATATACTATAAATATGTACAAGCACACACAGGGGCTGACAGGGGTGCGTTCGAAAACTTCACTCGGGTGTACACCAGCGTCGTTCTGTCTTTGTTCAATTTTTAGTAACAATTATGATAGAACAATGCGATGCGCACCCGAGTAAAGTTTTCGAACGCAGCCCCGGGTGCTGAAAATCTATAGTGCACGTAACATATACTATAGGATTTTTAGCACTCGAGTGAATCCGAATGCAGCCCAGTGTAAAGCCTGCATTTAATTTTCTTTCAGAATTTTTATAATCTAGCTGGAATATATATTATGTATATACATATAAAACCATATGCACCCTCGCTCAGTTATCGAGTGTGTATTTGCGATCGCGAACTGAGCGAGCGGATAAATGGTTTTCTTACTTACTGTCAGTAGGTATAGTGATAAGTATTATATTGCTGGATGAAATGAAAAAATTAAACAAAGATATCGAGAAGGCAAATAACCACCAATTTTTCTAGACCCTCTAGATTTTCTAAAAATTCAACACTCCAGCAATCAATTTTTATATTCTCATCTATATATTGCTTATATAATATATCATGGATGTGTCATGTGTCTCTAAACGCGTAATAAGGGATAATGGCAAGATAAAAAAACACAATATTACTTTTTTTTCATTTAACATTTAATCTCACTTAAGAATTCTCTTCATTTCTTTTCCTCTTCTTTGATGGTACAATTGCAATTTCTTCTTGTTGTTTCTTTTTTTGAAAATAAATTTTATCAATCTTGACGATTTCTTTAGTTGCTTTTTTCTTTCTCTTTTTTATCTTGGACAGTTTAGTTTCAATTTCCTCATTTTGTTCCTTTTCACCATAATTAGCATCCAATGTGTCATTATCTATTTCCACCTCAAGTGCATTTTCACACTTTAATCGTTGCTTCCTTGATTTTTTTGCTTCCATCTCATCTAATATCCTCTTTTGTATATCTTTGGATTTATTTAATGCCAATTTATGATTTAAATTGGACAAATTGCTGCGAACGTCCATTTTTTCTACTTCTTTTTCACTGCATTTTGCCTCTTTTGTCTTTACTTTGCCTTTATTTTCTATTTCGGAAACTACGAATTTAACAATATCAGTCGATATCTTTCCTTGTCCATCTGTTGTTGAAATTTCTTCTTTCTTCTTCTTCTTCTTCTTCTTCTTAACGCATTTCTCTCGCTCATACGGGTCTGTTATTGCCATGTCATCTTTCTTGACATTCAAGTTAGCCCTGATAACATTTCTATATTCATTACCCCCTTTGTGTTTGCACTTTGGCAGAGTCACATCAAAGTTCCTCTCGAATACCGCTACGAAAAAACCATTGCAAAAATCATCATCTGGCTTCGAATACAAACATGTATCTCCGCAGTTGTATTTTTTCGAGCTGAAGTTAGTCCAGTTGTTTTTTAATAATTGTCTAACAGGTACCAGATGATAAGCGTTACCAATATCGGCGAGAACTTCGTCTATTACTTCTTCATTTTCCTCGGGGTGTAAAGAACAAGTGCTGTAGATTATTCTCTTTGCATTTGGAAAGTTGAACAGCGCGTATCTAAGAAGATAAACTTGGAACGATTGTAGGTTTTGCAAACGCTTTGACTCGGGTTTGCCATCCATATCGCTCTGTTTTGGTCTGTCGACAATGCCTTTAATAAAAATGTTATAAAATTATATATCGTAAAATCATACAAAATAAAAATTATGTCGTATTTTACAACGAATAGTTGTATAGTGATTAAATATAGAATAAACGATTACGTTAATAGATGCCTTCTGTAAATAGGAAATAATGCGACAAAGAAAATTCATTTCGAAAAAAGAATTAGAATTTCCATTTTCCTATTCCGACATTTATTGTTAGTGTATTAACTTAAATTTGATTTTATTTATTAGAAAGTGGAGGATTCTCTTACCTGATCCAGAACAAGTTGGATCAACTAGAATATATTCCACATGTAAATATTTTTTTGGATCGAGAGTCAAAGCATCTTGATTAAGAGGTTCCACGCAGAGGGAATGAGTCTTTTTCATCTGACTCAATAAGGTTTCAAATCTCTTGGCATCGATCTCCACAGCATAAACTTTCCTATATAAAAACAATTTATACTAGTATCCATTTCTAAACATTAATTATTTTATTTAAACTAATTAATAAAATATAGTTGTATAAAAAAATATCAGATTAAATATTTAACACTAAAATTGGTCAAAACATCAAAGTGGTTAAAATGAGCCGTTTGACATTATTGAAACATCTTAATTTCTGAAATTTTCCCTGACTTTTATAAAAATTAGATAGAACAGATGATTAATTTTATTAATTTGTTTTTACTTTTTCTCTATTCTTTTCTAATCGCAGGATTTCTTCGGTAGAGATAAATCTCCTTTCGGTAGATTAATCTTCAGTAGTTCTAGTGTTCATACATTTTTGGTTTCCATTTTTCATGCAATCTGATATCTAACAGAGAATGTTATTGGAGAACAAACTGTGTATTACCCGTAATTTTGCAGTTTTGCTGCCGCATGAGTAGCCTTCATGCCGGGCGCGGCGCACATGTCCAGCACTACAGAACCACTAACAGGATCCAACAAGTGCACCGGCAAGCAGCTAGCCTGAATAAAAAACAAAATTTTAACATAAACCTATTGAATGCATCTTATTAATCATTGATCAATTGATTAAATCTTGTTGATGCTAATTTATATATTAGTAACCTACTAAAATTTGATAAAAGTTCAGTAAAAGTTGAATCTCGGAATATAAGACAATGAAAATTAACACATAAATGTTTTTAATTTAGACCTGAACCTGAACACGCGTCTATGTACCGTATGTACGTACACATTTATCATATTTATTCATTTATTTCAGCTATTCTTAGTCTAGCACAGTGCCAAGTTCTTTATATTAAATATTTTCTTATTTTATCTAAATCTTTTCATTTTATATTGTTACTTCTAAAGATTTAAATAATCTGTTTGCATAATCATGTTCTATATCTTCTTATTAACTATTCAACTGCACTTAAATACAAGTATCGTCTATTATCTTAGTGGGTTTTTAAATGTTTAATTTTTTAAAACGTTTATCATATTTCCTTTCATTTGACGCAACTTTCTGACTTCATTACTTTTTTTTAAGAACATTTTTAAAATTATGAAATGTTAACCAACACTTATTATTCACTTGAACATTCTTTTTTACGAAAATCAATACCATTTATATTATAATACACAATTATTTTATATTTTTGATTGGATATACTACAACAATTTTGTACAACAGATTTCTTTCAATATATAACAGTTTTTCATACTAGTGCGCGCACTTGGTGACATTTATTTTTCTTTAAAAAGGTAATTTTTTAAATTTATATACCTTATCCTGAAGAATAAGCTCGCCACTTTTATAACCGCTGTGTCCGTGAAAGGGTGTCAGGGGTGGAAAAACCAACATTTCAGGTATATGCAGATCTTGTATAAAATGCGGTTTTGATAATTGCGATAAGGATTGTAGATATGAAGAGTATGTTGTACTTTTGGGTAGTAATTGCCATCCATCCTCCTGGAAGAGACAGATGGCTTTTTCCACTGACAACAGAAGAGTATTGACACGGACGTATCGAGGCTTTTGCACTGAAAAGAAAAAAGAAAAATAATCACATCTTTTTGAAGAATCCCATTAAATACAGCAAATATATACTTATTACTACACACACACTCACACACATACACAAATGTATGCGGGGAAAGAAGAAATCTGATCTAATGATAGAAAAGGAGGAAAAATAGTTTAATTTTTCAATAAACCAAATATATATGAATATTTTTTATTAGATCAAATTTCTTTCTTTTTTCTGTATCTATACATACGTATCTTTTTTATTGAAACATTTTTATATCTAATTTAAAGAAAATCAAATTTACATTATTATAATTTGTTTAATTTTAATTATACATTTAAAAAAATCCAATCCAATTTTTAATATATCTATGTTATATCAAATCTGTTTTAGTTATACTTTACAGCATTCCTCGCAATATAAAATCAGAAATATATATTTTCATATAAAATAAAAATCTATAGAGCAAAATCTATAACTTGCTCCTTAAAGCAAGTTAGTAAAGTAATAATGTCTAAACAACTGATTTTATGGAATATAATGATAAAAGAAAATTTTTCCTACTTCTCGTGTAAAATGTGGAATAAAAATATCGTATTTTGAAAAGGATTTAGAGGTCAACTTGATTTTTGCAAATTAAAATACTATACTTTTTGTTGCTATTTTATTACGTAAAGATTGCCCATCGTTATATACAGTCTTTACATATGTATATATTTACATCTCTTTCAGTTATTAAACTTATTATTTTCTCTATTAAGCATATACGCGTATTAATTAGATACACATACTGTAGTTTAAGTAACAAAAAATGCTGGTTTTTTTTCTTTCATACACAACAAAAAATAATTGACATTTTACAAACTTAAAAAAAAAAAATAATTTTAATCAGCTTTCTCATTCAAACTCTCTACTTGATCTTCGCTTTGTTCCTTCTCTTCGACAGACTCGTTTAAAGCTTGATAAGCATAACATGAGATAATCAAGTTCACTGTGACTACGGCCGCCAGTACAGAAATGTAATTCGTCACAGCGGTATCAGTCTGGAATTCTAATATCATGAAACGTTGTACCCCAAAGAAGGCAGCAAACGGCAAAGTGAACATGGCGACGCTATAGAGGAACAACGTTCCGAGTACTGCTGCTGGGCCCATCGCGCAATTGTTCTTTTTGTTGCAAATCGATTCCCGACGACAAGATCTGCTTTGACGATCTTGTAGCTTTCCGACTCTAACTTGTTTGTTCGGTCGACTGGACAATATTCTGCAGTTGCGAATAATCAGGACCATGAAGAAGAATGCCTTTACTGCGCTACGAGGAGTCTTCGCCGAAGACCGAGTCTCTGCAAAAATGCAAGCATGCAATGATTATTGACGAGCACAATTACCTTTCGCTTTGTGAACGACGAGAGTCTCTGTGCAGTCGAGGCTCTTTGACTCCTCTCGTAGTCTGTTCTCGTAAGCTAGGACGGTTAAGACAGGCTTGGAGCGGCTCTTCAGGCATCCCTTGCGCCACAAAAGCTCCGTTATTAGAACTTTGGCTAGCCAGGGATTCAAACGCGGTTGTTCCGTTAGAATTTGAGTCTTGTCGAGCAGCCGGTCTAGCTGAGGCAACGCTCGTAAGGTATTCACCGACAGACCGTATATGCCGGCTACATTCTGAATCGTACACGATATATTACATTTTTATGGCAATTGTATGGCATTGTACGTAACAATGGGTGCGTTCAGCCGATACTCCGCTAGCCTATCAATCGTGAGCAGTCGCTCGTTTTCGCTCGTTTCCTCTCTTTTGACCCAATGGATTAAAAGAAGAGGAAACGAGCGACTGCTCACGATTGCTAGGCTAGCGGAGTATCGGCTGAACGCACCCAATGTAATCGACAAAGTTAGAACCTTGGGGTCTTTTCAAAATTAATCTCATATCCTTCCCTTCCCTTCCCTATCGTTCGTTCGTCCGTTTTATTTTACACTTACGGGATGTTTCCTCTCGTAAATCAGAGTCTTCAGACTGGCACCATCCTCTCGCACGCGACGAACAATGTCGGCCGTGAACTTGTAAATACGCGGGACCGTAACGGAATGCACGAATTCATTCGACATATTACGGATTTTAGACTTTTTGAAAATTATGTCTTTAATCAATCAGCAAGTTAAGTAGTAAATCCATCGTCCACATTGATGAACCCGTTATGAATATGATTTCGAGACGAGTCCAGAACCTAACCTGCAGACGAGTGACAGTGACAAACTGACAAATCAACCCGACAGTGCCGCCGACTGGAGTCACTGGAGTGTACTAATGCTGGGTCTACAATGCGAGTCGCAAAGTCGTAAGTCGCAAGAATTGACTAATCACAGTCAAATTTGAGGAGAATAATCGACTGTGATTCATAGAGATATAAGAATAGAGTGCGCGAGTCATATGCTAGCACGTAAGAGGCTGCGATATAGGAATAGAAAAAGACCGCTGCATATAGGCCCTTTCTGTTTTTGTCTACGCGTGCATGCGAAACAAAGACAGAAGGGGCCCATGCGCAGCTTTCTCTTTCTATTCTGCGCAGCTTTCTCTTTCTATTCCTATATCGCTTTTTCAGCTCGCTCGCGCACTCTATTCTTATATCTCTATGCTGTGATTGGTCAATTCTTGCGACTCACGACTTTACGACTCGCATTGTAGACCTAGCATAACACCACATGAGTGTAGTACCGTTTGTTCTTCTTCGAAGAACTTTCTGAACCTTGTCCAACTTTTTGCACCAGGGTGCACCGGTTCAGAAAGTTGTTCGAAAAAGAACAGACGGTACATACATTTCGATATTCCCTAACCTTCAAATTACTTCCCCGCGTAAATTCAAATAGCCACATGTTACATACATACATATATATGATACAATAAGATACAAATAAAACAGAAATCCAAAATTCGTCAATTGGGAAGGTACCTAGGACTCCATTCGTATCGGTTCTTAAAAAAGTATACACGAGATTATCAACATTTAAATATATTTATCACAAATATATATATATATATATATATATATATATATATATATATATATATATATATCTTTGTTCAATACCGTCTCTAATACTGTTCACTCTTTTAGAGTTTTGTCGAAGTCAAAATTCGAATAGCAGTAAAATTCATTAGCTAAATTGTTTTTGTGACCTGGAATAAAATCACATTTTCTAACGTCCAACAGCCTCTCCGCCAGTTCCGCCATAACGGCACCTGCACACGAAATAATAGTGTCCTACTTATATCGATACGATAATCGGTGCACAACAGGAATTTGGCAGAAAAATGATGTCGTACACACCTGTGCAGAGCACGATATTCTTCTTGGTCAAAAACTTCACCGTCACCGCCGTCTTGGTTAGACACTCCTCCGAGAGGAACGGTGGGTCAGCTATAACCAAATCGAACTGGCTGGACATGTCCCGGGGAACATCCAGAGGAAACTTGTAGTCATACTGTATAAAATCCTTGCCAAATATCTTGAAACGGCTGTCATACTCAAACAGGGTAACTGCAATATCAAAATAATATACTTGCAAACTATATAATTTAGTTAACTCCACTGTACTCAGGCTGCAAATTACTCCATGTATTCAGGATGCAAGTGCTAATCATACCTTGCCGTTCACCGCATTCTTTCTTCAATTTGCTGTAGAGAGTTGGACAAGATACCAGAGCGATCTTTCCCTTCGCCGGGGTGGAATTTAAGGCACCTCTGACAAAAGTCTCTATCGTATCGTCATTGTACCAAAATTGACTCAATTGCTGTAACGTCGAGATCGTGCGTAAGTTCCTCCAGAATTAAAAAAAATCTAAAGCAAAATTAAAATGGTATTATTTTCTCACTCACCCAGTCCTCGTCGAAGGGAGTATCTGGTAGTATCCGATCTTCCTCGGATATACGTTTCAGCAAGTTCTCTCGCTCCTCTTTCTCCTTTAGGAATTCCTGTAGCGCGGCAAGGGTACTCGAGCTCAGTTGCGGCTGGTCGTCATCGCTGTCGCTCATTGTCGTCATTGTTTACAATCGCAGCGCGATTTACCTGTAAAGTGAGAGAACTAAAAGTAAGCGGAGATCAGAGTAAAGCAGGGCACACACACCTTTCGTAGAACGTAACAGTAAGGTTCCGACCAATCGTGTTGCTCGATTCTTACTTCTACGGTTACAGACGGCCGAATTGAGCAACGCGATTGGTCGAAACCTTACTGTTACGTTCTACAAAAAGTGTGTGTGGCCAGCTTAAGGGCCAAAGCACACATGACAGTCGTAGTCGTGGACGTAAGTAACGCACAAGCTTTGGCGTATCCTGATTTGTCAGGTCGAGGACTACGACTGTCGTATATCGCTACGCCATGTTATGTGCTTTGGCTCTAAGCCTCAAGATGTAAGAAATTGACCAATCACAGTCGATTATTCTCCTCACATTCGCCTGTAATTGGTCAATTTCTTACGGTTTGAGGCTTACTACAGCTTACCACAGTTATTGTAGATCGGGCAGGATATGTTTGTGTGACAGTACCAACAAAAAGTGATTAAAATTTGAAAACTGCAGATTTCTTTTTAATTTGAGTTACCTCGGGAACCCTATCCCTCTCTTTTTATGGAAATTATTGTCTTGTAACTCCGACTACGCCAAAACTAGAGTCCCTATATAAGAGTCTGGCCACTGAGGCTATTTTGTAACAAAATGGCGTCTCGCATGAAATTATTTAAATAAATATCTCAAAAAATGCCATTTTTTTCTCTTCTTTATTTCTGAGATATGTAAAGAATTGCTTTATAATAACAATAATATACAATAAAATTATTAATTCTTCAATAACCGGAACGTTAATATGAAATTGTGAGCAAAATTCGAACTATTAATTGCCCATAAAAATTTTCCTTCTCATGTCATAAGACTGCAAACGTACAATCTAGTTCAAAGATAAAAGATCAAGATTAAAAAATTTAAAGGCTTCTGAGGATATAAATTTCAAACAAAATTTCTAAATTGATATCATGTCTTTATTTCATGTATATATACACGTTTGAGAGTTAAATACTATTAAAGAGACATAAAATGTTTAGTATTTTCAGAAGTTTCGTTTTTATTTTCATAAAATATGCAAAAGTATTTGTTTAAATGTTCGAATGTATATAGGCCTGATAACAATATAAATTAAAAAAAAATTTCTAAAAAGTTATTTACAAATACAATTTATGTGCTAGTACATCAATTTGGCAGAACATGAAATATATATATTTTATTCTTAAAATTTTACTTGTAGAATAATAGAAAATGTTATTGTGTTATGATAAAACGGTTAAGATCTAGTAATTTACTAAACAGCGTGAGATCGATGAGATCCAATTCGAAAGTCGTATCGTGTATATGTATATAGAAATTTTGCTTCAAACAATTTGGCTACTTGAATCAATCAAAAATTGAAATTAATCGGAATTGATTAGAAATTAAAATCATTCTAAATTTGCTTAAACAGAATTTTAAATATTAAATTTGTAGATGCAGATAACGCGCTGAAGATTAGAATTCCAACCAATCAGAACAATGCGGACTGGGATTTAAAAACATATGATTGGTCGGAATTTGGGGTCTGTTCCTCGTAGCTGTGTTACACACTTTCCACATCTAAAATAAAAATGACAAATAAAGGTAAAAAAAAAATACGAAAGATTCAACTATAAGAGACAATTCGCAGTCTTCAAATCTTTAATAAAAATAGTAAAATATTTAAATAGACCGTGCGTTCGACTTCTCTTTCCTCTTTTCTCTCTCCGAACGTGAGCCGAACAGACCCGATCGCGTTCTTCCGAACGCAGTTAAATGCGATATTCGATATTCGATTATTTCGATTCAATTCGATGGTAGACGCAATGGCCTCCCATTCGTTTCCGATACGGTGATCGAACAGTGTGTGCCATCGAAGAGTCCCCGTAGCTCGTAGCGTGCCGTTTCCTCGTGCTTCGGGATCCTCCGCCTCCGCCTCGAGCCAATTGTACCCAAGTTGTTTCAGTCGTGGTCACGCGCTTATCGTAATCCTTGATATCGGGCTCGAACGCGCGATCCGTCCGACGCGATCCTGCGCTGCCGCCGCTGTCGTCTGTCGTTCCCGTCCCGCGAACGATCGTGTCGTTGCGGGTACAATGGCCGATGTAGAAGGGAAAAAGCTTGCCGAGCTCCGGGTTATAGACCTCAAGACGGAGCTGGAACGTCGCGGTTTGGATAAATCCGGTAACAAAGCGGCGCTTCTCGAACGGCTGTCCAAGGTGAGCGATGCCTCCCTGTTTTTTTCTCTCGCCTGCGACCCTTCCCGTTCGTGCTCCAAGCAGCGCGTTTATCGCCATCGATCTTGTCGATTTAGCAGGCCTGTTGTCATCGGTATTTCGCCCCGATTTCGAAAGGGTTGACCTTCGATTAAGCCTTTCCCGCATCGGAACTCGAGTAAAAGGTGAAGCGGCGCTTCTGCCCGCTTAAAACATGCAGGAATTCTTGTCGAAAGATTGCGCAATCTGACCGTGCTACTTGGGGAGGGAGAAGGGAAATTTAGTTTACTAATGTCTTCGCGAATAAACGATTGTTTTCTCCTTGACCGTATTAACACAGTTATACTGTAGTATTAGCTTATAAAATGCTAGTGGAAAGAGTATTGCATAAATAATGCTATAAGTGAGAGAAAGCCAAAGTGATAAAACCATGAACTTTTAGACACAATACATTTATTTTTTGGTGAAATTGAATCTTTGCGTGCCGATAATGATGGGTTGCATTTATAAACTTAAAATGGTATAACATATATTTTTAGGCGATACTGGATGAAGGGAAGAATCCCGAGGAATATCTTATCGTACCGTCTGGTGGGTCGTCTAAAATCATTCCAAGAAAGAATGGCGGTATATATATTTTTAAATATTATTATATGTAGTTTTTAATATATAGAACATTAATTTCATATTGCAATAATTGATGATGAGTCAAAATGACAGATTTTTATCGTTTGTTAAACTTCTTTCTCTCGTGTCATAGGATCTTTAAATCAAGAAGATTCTGTTGAGAACACTGATAATCAGAAGGAAGAAAATGGACAGGATAATTTAGATAAATCTAAGGTGGAGATAAAGACAGAACTGCACGATGAAAAAGAAAATGTTGTTAAGAAAGACGTAAAAGAGGTATAGCATACATATTGATGTTAGATATTTTAATTAGGATTGGATCTATGGTTCAAAATTAACAATTTACTTTAATCTTTTTTGTTTAGGAGCCTGAACCTGAAGTTAAAAATATTGTAAAGGAGGAAAAACAGGAAGATAAAATGCAAGGAGTCAAGGCTACGAGTGAAAGTGCACAGAGCAGCGACAAGAAGAATGAGGCAGAGAAGACTGTCTCGCACCAAACAGACGCGCCATCCACCACTGTTGAAGCTAATGGTATTGATAATGAGGACTCTATCAACTTAACTATTGGAGAAGATGAGGAGAATCTCCTAGCTGAGGAGGTACGATTCAAGAAAGACATTTTTCGAGAAACTACTATAATTAATTCCACAAAGATTCAAGACACGGAAAAAAATTTAGCTAAATTTAGTCGTAAAATATGGATAACTAATATTTTTTGCAGCGAGAGCTATACTTTAGCAATAGTAGGAAAATCTTTTGTTCTCGCTGCAAAAAATGTTAGTTATCCATATATTACGACTATTTTAGTTATAGTAGCTAATCTTTTTTTTCCATGGATCTAGAATATAGTTCTTTCGGAATTATTTCTAATGAATATATTTTTTTTTTTATTGCAGACAGAGTCTCATGACAGGCACAAAGGTAAGTTCGCCATATCATTGACTATTTTTTTAAATTTAGCTATAAGTATTCCAAGTATCAAGGCTAGCGATATTTGTATCTGCGACATCCTGAGTAAGTTAGCAAAAGCGCCAGTGTCAAGAGCAAGCGTCTTCAAGAACGTATTCGTGCAACCATCTGGAATAAGGGCGACATTGGGATCGTCCGCAACCTTCTTCCTCGTCCTACGAGTTCCGGTCTTCAAGCCTCGTCGTGAACTTCGTTTCAACGTCTGGATGCGACATAGTCCAGCCACGATAGACGTGGCGTGCTATCATTCAAGTGCAAGCCGGCAACAGATATGGCGTTTCGACCGGGATAAACGCATGGTGATCGATAAGGTTTCCAACCGGGATAAACAGTGTACATCTCCCGACATTCCCGTGCTGCTGTTCGAGCAAACACAAGCCATATCCCGTAGTCTTTAAGTTAGTTAACGTTATAATTTGCTATACAATTACATTAATTATACCTACCACGTAGAGCATCGTTGGATCTCTCTTATCGTCGAATCACATGGATACAAGAAGACTCAAGTATACGCCAGCAAATATTTGCCGCAAAATAAATTATCGCACGACATGAGGTTTGACCAGTATCTTCGAATTGTTCGTGCCTCTTCGACGAATCGTTGTCGCGTTTATACGTTAGAGCACATTTCCCACGCGCGAGAGTAGTAATCTATCGCAGGGATCATTTTATCAGCGTAGAGCAATGCGAATTCATGAAATTGATAAGCATGCTCTGCGTTTATCGTTATCTTTACTTTTTTTTTCCAAATCTATTTTCAATTCGAGGTTTCGTGGAAGGGATCGAAGGTAGCTTTGTGTACAGGCAACGCGCGCGTGTAAAATCGACGTAAAACCGACGAAAAAGCTTTAGGTTTCCTGGATCAAACCGGTGCTATTGAGGAGATCGGTGGCTCGTAATATCGTGCAAGCCACATCGTTGCTTGCTGTGTGAATTTATTAGTGACTTGGCCGAAATTCCTGACTGGAAGTCACAAGCCACTAAAGCAGGAGATGTTAGGAGGGAGGGAGAAGAGTCTGGGCTTCCGCAGAAAGTGACTATGCTACCTTGATTGTCCCTGCAGATGGTGGAGAGAAGAAGAAAATGGAAGAGAACAACAAGAAGGGAGACTCTAAAGGCAGCGGTAGAGCGGAACCTGGCGCCGGCGGCAAGGAAGGGACAACGTCCGGTGCGAACGGGACGAAGATCAAGCAGGAGGGTGGAGATGGAGGAAGCAAGAGGTTGGTCTCTCTCATAGAGCTAAAAAGTACGGTTCGCAGTACTGTGGTACGGCAAACTGGAAATGTGTCGCTCACGACTCTGCTAGGGATGTTCTACTGCTGCATAACCGTATCATCGGGATGATCTCTCTCTATCTCTCTCTCTCTCTGTACCGTCAGGATAATGGATTTCCAAGATGAGATCACTCACGTCACATGCAAGATTATGTTTAATTCCCTTTTTTTTATAAATCGAATTTCGGAAGTTAATCTTCCAATCTATGTCCTCCCCTTAGACCGTAATTCTTAACTCTGGAAAATATGTTAAGAAATCAAGAACTTGGCTAGCAAACTTAAACTAGTCTCTCGAATGTCGCTTGCATTTTTCTTCGCAAATTCAATAAAAGCGATTACACGTACTCTATATACCAAGAAAAAAAAACAGACGAGCTCTGTGTGCTGTGTTCCCTACACAACGAGGACATTCATTCGTTTCATTGAATGGCAGCGATTTCATCGTGCGTCACTATACAAAGGACATTAGTATCTTATGGTAAATTGTATTCGGCAAAGCGTGCTAAAGTTCTCGTACTATCAAGAAGCGATCCTATTGTTTACTGAAGATACTACCCTAAAAAAAAAAGAGAGAAAAGCGTTAAAAAAAAAAACTCCCGATTATGACAAGAAGTACCCTGTCGGAAGAACTGCAGCAGACGACCCTTTTGTGGATACTTAGAGCTGATAAGTGTTGCCGCATGGACACGATTTCCTTATGCATGAGTGACAAAAGTGGATGAACAGAGAACACAGTGAATACACATCCAGTAATCTAAATAGAACTGATAACGTACGAGATGGTGTACGAGTGAAACCTTCCCAAAAACAAAAAGTATTTAGGTTATACCACCTAAAAATAAGTTGCTAGCCAAATTTATGTCCTTAACATAGTTACAGAGATACTTATTAAGCACATTTATGGTCCTAATTAATTTGTTATTTGTAATCAAAATTATTGTGGGTTTTAATTTTTTGATATAATGACGATATTATTTCTTTCAGCGTGGAGTCTAGCAATAAGGGCCAGAAGAGAGAAGAGAAAGGTAAGCTAGATTCATTGAATTATTTTTGAACGTAATGGTTTTTTTTTCCAAAAATAAACGGATTATATTAAGATTTTACAATCAAACATGTTTTACATTCTTCGTAGATAAAAAGACATCTCAGATCAGCCCAACCAATGCAAGCAGTCGCAATTTATGGGTATCCGGCTTATCATCCAGTACTCGTGCGACCGATTTAAAGCAGATCTTCTCAAAGTATGGTAAGGTCATAGGTGCAAAAGTGGTGACGAATGCGAGAACTCCTGGAGCAAGATGTTATGGTTATGTCACGATGTCTTCGAGCGAAGATGCTGCGAAATGTATACAGCATTTACATAGAACCGAGCTTCATGGACGCGTTATATCTGTAGAAAAGGTAAATAATGATGTTTTGAATGTGACACCATTAAAGTTTGTCCTTCTTTGACATTCAGCATTCCCAAAACTTATCCTTATTATAAATTCTTTCTTAGGCGAAAGGCGACACGCAGCAAAGTCACGTACGTAAACGTGATACGGTTAACGGTAAATCGGAGAAGAAAGAGGAGAAAGAAAAGCCGAAGGATCATGATATAAATGAAAGAAAGGAGAAAGAAATTAAGAAGGAATCCGAAGAGAAAGGATCAGATCCCGGTAAATATTTTTTCTTTACAGCAATAATTACAACACACACAAAGGGAAAATTACTTTTTTATAAGTCTCACTTCAACTTTTGATGATATCATAGACATTAAATAATTATCATGTTTGTATAGCAAAAAAATCTGATGACAAAAATGAAAGTGCCGAACTGAAGATAAAAATCGAGATGCAAGACAAAAAGGAAGACCCACCTAAAGAGTCAGATTCCCGATCGACAAAATCTACTAGCAAGAAGCCGGAGAGCGAGAGAGGAAGGCGAGAAGAAAAACGAATTCGTACTTGGGACAGAGATCACCGCTCTCATAGTCGATCTCGAAGCCGTGAACGACGCAAGCGCGATGATGTTCTCACATTTGCTAAAATCAGAGTAAGTATTTCCATTGATTTTAATTTCGGATAAAATCATCAATAGCAAGAACGAATTTGTATAAGAAACAAAATATTAAATTTTCAGGAAGAACGTGAACGGCAAAGATTGCGCGAAAGGGAACGGATGCTGAGGGAAGAAGAGCGAAGAAGAAGAGAAGACATGGAACGTCAACGAGAGATAGAGCGTAGACACCGAGAAGAGGCTGCGCGCTTGGAGAGAGAACGAGAGAAATTGAGACGAGAAAGAGAACGAATCGAGCAGGAAAAAGCCGATTTACTGCGACTTGAGCGTGAGCGGCAGAAGCTCGAGAGGGAAAAGCTTGAACGCGAGAGATTGGAACTGAAGAGACAGCAGATGCGTTTAGAGGAGAGCCGACGCGCGCCACCGCCACCGTCCATAAAAAGAACGTCCACCGACAGGAGAGATCCGCGGGATTTGTACGTGGAACCTGACAGAAAACGAATAGCTACAGAACATAGCCGCAGACATAGCCCGGACAGAATAGTCGATAGACGAAACGAGATGCTGGAACGTGTGCCGGATAGACGACTGGATCCTTCGCCACCATCTCGATATGAATCCAGCAGGTAATTATTTGAATTGCTTTGACGTTGCGTTCAGTCGTTATCAATCGAAAGTCATTACGAAGTTTCCGGACAATATAATAAAATATATTTCGAACAATTCAATTATATATCTCCATGAGCACAGTTATAATGCCATTAAATTTATTTCAGATCTACTCAAGAGTTGGGATTGAAAAAAGAATTCAAAAGAAGTAGCGATTTCTCTTCAAGAAATAGTCGACCAGATACCTTTTCTGATGTTTCCCGAGGAAGAGAAGTCATTGTACGACGAGAAAGTCTATCCACTGCATCCTCGTCTATAGATCCTCGACAAGTCAAGGAAAGGTACGTGTTGTATTCGCAAGTCATAAAATAGCAGTAATTGTATTTCAAATTTGATAAAAAAATTCTTCGTTTGGATTTACACAGATACGATCGTCCAAATACCACATCCTATACTCGCGAACGTGAAGTACGACGTTCCGATCCCGAGACGCATCGAAGCTCTAGAGACACTCATACGCGATACAGTGATAGTTTCAAACCTCCGACATCTAGCACGCCACGTAAGTATGATAAATCGTATACGTACGAGAGGTGGTTTTAGTACACGACACATGGAGTTTTTATCACTTTCCCTATTCTTATAATTGATATTACACTGAGCCATTTTTAGACGGTTTTTCTTTAATTTTTTACACAGGATGTAAGCATAACTTTAAGTAAGGATGCAATACAGTAGCCAAAACATCTTCATGAAACATTTCTGACAGAGAGAAGAGGGTGTGTACACCCGACCTGGTATTATACGTGTAAATTTATCTTTGTTCAATACCCTTGATATGAAATTCTTGGACGATATATAATGAATAATGTGAAATTAGATAGTGCAACTAAATTATATCTTAAAATATAAATATTATAAAACAGTGAAATATGCGCCCAAAATAAGCTTGAAGACTCAACGAAATTTTTGAGGTTTAAGAAATATAAAGTTTTTAATTTTATCGCCTTTAAGAAAATGATATAATGAAATTAGGTAGCGAAGGAATCTTTTTTCTTTACAATTTATATATCTTTCGCGCAAACAATCTTGGTACATAATTTTGATAAGTAGATTTTATCAATATTGTATAAAATATTTTATAGTTTATGACGAGATATCTCTAAAGAGAATATTCGAAGATAGGATAGATAAGAAGGAATATCTTATAGATCATGCTTTATTTAAAGTGCCAAACATTTTTAAAGATAGGAATAGTTTATATAGTTAAGCGTACACACGTTGTTTATAACCAAGTTATAAAACAGTTGAAATAAAAAACTAGCCGAATAGAGGTATTATTTGCTTATTTAAAAAGCATTTTTAATTTTTGGTAATACATTTGGACACATACATAAATATTTCTTTTGTATCCCAAATCCAGCACGTTTTTGTCATTAGATTTTTTTGCTGAAACGGACGAAAAAATTGTTCGATGTTTAGGATTAGAAGTTAAAATAAATTTATGTTGAAGTTTATGTTTATTATTAAAAGTTCAAGTAAAATTTATTATATGGAAAACAATTTTTCTTGAAAAATTAAATTTAAAATACTTTTATTTTGTTATATCGATAAACGTATAGAGAAATTGAGAATAGGATTTTGCTCAGTCCTAATGATTTCAGATTAGAAAAGTTCGTATTAAGCATTGGTCACAAATGAACACTAAACTGTCTCGATTAAACACTGGTTTCTTAATTTTTAAGTACTTTAGTTTGATACCTTTTTATATATTACTATTAAATCTTGTAAAGAAATTTATTATCTCATTCCAAATCCAAATCTGTATTCTCTTTTATAAATGTGTATGCTTCATAATAAAAATTTATATGATTTTTGTTGAGTTTTCATTGTAGTTAGTTGAACCTGCTATCAGTCTTATGATTCAATGAACGAGATATGAAAGCAGTGTTATACAAAAACTTGGCTGGTTTGTCTAATAAATATTGCGCGAATACTCAATGCGAACACGCCAGTTGTGTCTGCCATGTCGGTGCAAACGTGATTAATATACTTTTTATTATAAAGCATACCAAGCACAATACAAATGCACAGTTTAATATAATGAAATTTTCTGAATTACATTTTAATAAGATTGTATAATGAACTTTATTCTTGCTGGTAAACGTTTTAATAATTTTTATATATCCTGTACAACGGAGAGAGAAATATACATGTTGCAATTATGATAAATTAATAAAAGTACCGTCTTCATTAACTCTTGCATGCTATTGTTATATGCAGGTGAAAGTCGTTATGTGGAAAGCAATCGTACGCCCAGCGGTTGGCATTCGGGACCTACATCCTCAAAATCTTTCAACTCCGTGACGAGCAGCGGGTCTCGCGATCCCCGTAACGAGCCTTCCAGCTGGAGTTCTAGATCGTCCGATAGTGTTAACAGGTTCGCTATTTAATTCACAGGCGTAACTTTCAGCTCGTGTGACTTTCTTAGACTTTGTCCTTTGTTCACGATACGATCGCCAAATTACTCGACGAGACATTAGATGTTCATCCACTGGCAACTAAGTGCTCTTGTTGCAGATGGAGCAACTCGAGTAGCATGGGAAATACATTGCGGCATCCGATCCCGCCGACATATCAGAGCGGACCGATGCAATCTATGGGACTGACCGCACCCGGAACAGCACAGTCGTACGAACGGTTCGAGGCGTACAAATCGTCCATGCCTATGAGAAAATATTGATTATCGGACTGCGCGAATTTTCGCGATCACGAACATTCGTTCAAGTAAACCAGAACACTCGCGGGATTCTCAAAACTCCTTGGTGACTACAGGATATTAGTAGTTTAACGCGACCGATTACCAATTGTTCATTGCGCGAATTGCAGCGTCCGGTCTTGAAAGTATAAGAATTCCTGTAAAAATACTGTCAAAACCGGTTTTCCGTTTCCGCACCAGCTTGATCGATTACAAAATCGCGTATAGATTCTATCGATATCATGTTTTGCTGCAGTCAAACAAATTATTATCAATTTTATATACAACTCATATTGTGCATACTAATATTCACGGAGAGCACTCATAATTTGCAATTATGCGCGCTCCTTATTATCGTTTCTCTTCTATATGTGTCCATTCGGCATGATATTATTATTCGCATCTAATGGATTTTGTACATGTGTTAATAGATTCCACTAAAGTGTCCCTATGAAGTAAAATGCGATTTATTTTCTTATGTAAATTACGCATTATCCGTTTGTTTTGACGGATGTCGATCGGCTCGGACGGCTATTTGTCATTCGAAGCGATCGACTTTAATGAAAGGGACGTAGAGGCTATAAGTGCACCTGTTTATCTTAAACGAGTTTGTTTAATAGAATGTAATAATGTACGACGAAAGATGTTATATCGTATAATTTTCTTGTATTCTACAGAGAGAGAAGCATTCTCTCTTTCTTTCCTATCGGAGCATGACTGGGATCCGGGTATTGGATTCCGGGAAGATAGGAGGCAAATTGTACGTGTTGAGTAACGCGGTAGCTATGCCTACTTTATACAGCGAAACGCAGGAACTTGATGTAGCGGCGACTGTCGCAGTATCGTAAATAAATTTAGGCAATACTACACGACTCGCGCCTGGCTCACTTCCTTTCTCCAGCGTCCGGAAACGAAGACGCATCTCGCGAACGAACGGCACGCCAGAAGACAGCCGAGAGAAGACTCGCCGGGCTCGGGGAACATTCCTGCGCGTCGCCGCGCCGCGGCCGTGACGAATCGTCATCGAAAGGCGGAGTATCGGCGGCGTAGAAGGAGCACCACTTTCCCTTGAGGAGTCTAGGGACGGCGCCTCGAAGAAAGAAGGAGGAAGAACGGGAGAGAGTGAGCGAGTGAGCCGATCGGTCGCGATCTTTCGTCGAGAGTAAAGTGTGTCGAGGTCTTTTCACGGACAGTCGTCGGGTTCGTCTGTCCCGTGCAGCCGCGATTGCACGCTTCCTTCCTTTACCGATCTCTTCTTTCTCTTCTCATTTTTTTAACTGCCGGTGTCGTACCCTCTCCGCGCCACGATTGTCACTCTCGTTCTCTCTCTCTGTCTCTCTGTTTCTCTCGCCGCTCTCGACGCACCATGCATAACTCGCCGGCGCTCTCACGCGACAATTCTTAGCTAAAATAGTTCGGCGCCGCGTCTCTCGTGCCCCGGGTGTCACGGATGCCGTCCGCGACGTTGTGACAAACAAACACTGGGGATGTCCGCGGGATAAGCTCTCCCTCTTCCCTCGAACGGAGATGTCTTCGTCAGCGGTCCTGAGTAAGTGAAATCCTCCTTTCTGCGTTCCGAGGGAAAAACATCGGGATTTTCGCGCGCGAGGGTGCGAGAACGCGAATGTCAGTGATGACCGACGACGCGCCGATGGGATCGGATCGTCTCCGAGGCGCCTGCCATCCGGTTCCGCTCGAAAAGAATTAACGACAGAACGTCACGCAACGATGACTACGGATATTATTAACGAGTCCGAGTGTGACTGTTGGCACGTATTAGATTTCAAAAGTGAAAACGGAGTGAATCGGCATGTCGATGCGTCGACAGCAAGAAAGCGATCTATTTGCATACCTCCTCAGTAGCACACGTCTTCTAAGGGATTGCTTTCTAAGCTTGATCCGTTACTTCTCAATCCGGCGAAAAGAAGACTTCGCGTGTAACATGGCGTAAATAAATCCGCGAAAGTAATGCTGAAATCGCTAAAATACGAAATATAAAATTAAAGTGCTACAAGACATATTAATCTTCGACATAAGAGAGGTCCAGATGCGAAGGACAAGAAATTACGCGACGAGAAAAGGAGAAGCTAATGTTTTTAAAATATTTATTTGTAATTGATTTTCAGGACACGAAATTCTTGCAGTCTCCTTCGCTGCGTTCGGTCGGTTCGATCGCGGCTTTATTTGTTTAATTTGCTTTAATACAGCGGCCGCGTCTCGCGGATCGAAGGTGGCCTTAATTACGCTGCCGTTCGTAAATTCTCTGCGTCTCGTGCATGGGCCCGATTCTCACTTTCTCGGATTAGAGTTTTCCGTCGCTACCGATTGTCTAACGATACCAGAATCCCGGTGACCTACTGGCAAAACGAAGCTTCGCACGGCATTGATTTTCTCATTAATGTCCCGTGAATTAATTGCCGCAATCAACTGCCGCTTTTACCCGCCCGTCAATCGCTATCAAGATTCAGACTGCCGTGGAATCTGTCGCATCGACACGCCGATCTCAGTCTACTAATGACGCTAATAATAATGGTAAAGCGATTCCCGTCTCATTAGTTTGTGACACAGATTCGCGAACATACGAAAACGTTAACGAATTGCACTCGGCCGGTCGCACAAAAGCCGCATTGTTTTACGTCGCTCTAAGCGCTAATTAATCCCAATCTAGGCAATCTTTAATTGAACCTAATCTTGCAAAATGTATATACATAATTTTTACATGTGATTCCAACAATTCTAATTCTTTTTGTTAATGGACCTTCGACTGAATTCATGTTTAAGATAATATATTTTGCATATTGTTAAAAATAGATGATGATTCGTATATCTCTTACAAAATCTTAAATTTTTTTAATTGAAAAATTGCGTGTTTTTGGGAGCGAATTGCCTGATCGAGGGTCATAAAATTGTCACGCCGCGAACATGGCCGGCTCGTCATTCGGAGATTCAAACGCCGGCATACATCTGGACGTGTTCTTCTTTTTTCTTTCTTACGAAACGTGATGTCGCAAATAAAATCGCGAGATTCGTATAGCCTACGTATCGCGCACGCACACGACATTCGGCATATCTGGGTTACTGTGCGTGGGCATATATTATTCTATACTCAGCTCAAAAACACATAAATATGTATTATAAAACGCTACGCGACACAAAGATTTTTCGAGAGGAGCCGCGCCTTTCCTCACCACGAAATCATTCGGCCGAAATGCGTCTGAAACTAGTAGAGTAACGCCTTCATAGCTTACACGTGGAATTAATTTAACAGACGTCGAGACCCTCTATTTCTTTCGCCAAATCGAAAATGATTTTTCCACCACATCGAGGATGACCATCCGAATATCCAATTTCTAACGTTGTCTTTATAACATTTGTATATCTTCGTAACTGAGCTTCAGATAAAATTCAGACTCCATTAGTCTTGCAGAATTAACTTGTAAACATGATTTTGTCGTACTCGTAGAACACGATTTGGTTATTCTAAAAAGAGTAAACAACAAAATATTAATATAAAAGTAAATTATATATAGTAATCTTGATAAAAAAGTAAAGTATATATACATATACATATATGACATTTAAATTAAGTAAATATATTTTTGGCTATCGGACAGGTCATTGATCTAATTATTTTTCTTAATTATTTTCTTAATTTGTGAATTAACGTTACTGTTATATCTTTCGAATCATTCGTTGTTAAAAATGATATCTCCTTATATGACAAAACTGAGTAAAATTAGTACTCAATTTAACATTTACCTAAGCATTTCTTGTAAATTCTCTACTAACAATTAATATATCTATAATCTTGTCAATTTCTGCAAAATTTGTTTCGTCACAGAAGTTTCTTGTACTCCGTTGATTACTGGTAACAGAAAATTACTTTAGAAAACAATTAATTGCTCGAGTGGAAGCGTATCTTGACATATCTTCGAGGAAAACTCGAAGTCTTTAATAGATTCTTTCTTCTCTGACGAAACACGAATGTATTTACGGCGCGAACGTCCGATTTGCCGGATGTAGCTCGGGTTTTTTTCTTGCTTTTCGTGTTTTCACATTTTCACTACTGGTTAACCAGCGACAGAGCCAGTGAAACGGCGAAAAGCCAACCGATATGAAGATGCAAATCGGAATCGCATGATGCGCCGCGACGCATCGACGATGGCCAGTGAAGTCGCTGAATTTGTTACTTCAGATTGTATTTGATCAGTAAGCGGATACACGTGAGAAATTGAAAAATAATTCTGCGGGATCGATGATGCAAGATACAATTGCATTGCAGTTATAAAGACAATACGATCCCGATGTGCAGCTGCGGTATAATCGGTCGATGCAACTTTGACCCGCATGCCATGGCACATGCCGCGAGAAACGATCCTGATGCACGTAATCGGAGCGTCCTTGTAACGCTTGCAGCTGAGATAAAAGGACGTCGATCCCGCATGTAGTAACAAGTTGCTTAAATTTTCCTCTTATTGCAGAAACGTATTCTCTTTTTTTTTTCTTTTTCTCTCGTGTAGAATTCGCGAGGTCGATGATGGAGCAATAAAATCCCGGAATTTTATCGAGCTCAGCTCGGCCGCGTTCTTCTCTGAATTTTCTAATCCCCGGTGAGACGGGCGACAGCAAACATTACGACAAACGTCGTCGATTTCATTTCGTCGGCAGTGACAAAGTGAAAATTCGACATTCAGGATTCAGAGGACGGAGCGCGTTTACGACAGCGGGGTTTCCCCGGCCGGAACCCCAAGAGAACGCTCTTACCGTCCCTACCTCCCGAGTCGCTGAGGGATAAATAATTGTCGTCCTCTCCTCGATGTATCGGGGCGACGTGAATCAGTGAACGGAAGAAGAAAGGCACACTTTCACGCCGGGCAACTTTCACCATCGATAAGAGAGGCCCGACCCGACGTGCGCGTGGTGCCGCTGTAACCAGAGTTCCGAAAAATCTTACTTCCACACACGGGACACGTAATTTTGTAATTATACACGGCGGTACCCCCGCCATCCTCGAACCCGGACCTCGGAGCCTTCGAGGATCAAAGGAGACATGTGTGCCGCGTGTCTGCTTAGCGCCCAATCTTTAAAAAGACTTCTTTTACAATTGGGTCACGCGATTGTGACCCCGCACGACCAATTTACATTCCTTCGAGCCTCTAATAGCCGGCATCTTTTATCTCTTTTCTTCTTTTCTCTTCTTCCCATCTTTTTAGTTCTTCCTCTTTTTCTCGAGCAGGAGGAATCCGGCTTTTTATTGCCGTGGCCGATTAGAGGGGAACTCTCGAAATTCTCTTCTCGCATGGCAAATTGAGTTCAAAAACCGGAACTGGATCCGGATCGCGAGGAATTGGCCCGACGATGATCTCAGAATCGTTTAGAAATATTCCCCAAGGCGGGTCGGCATCTCTTCTTTCGTTCAAACGCGCTTCCGGGAGATTTGATGATACTTAACGTACGTGCTTGACTTAATTCCACCTAATTTAACAAGAACGATCGGTAAAACAAGGTCGAAATGAAATTGCGTCCCGGACGAACCGAGTATCCTATATCGAGTATCTAATCGAGTGTCTTATTAACAATTGCGCTATTAATTAGAGACATTTGCAAAGATCGGCGTTCTCGTCGTCGCCAAAATTTCTCCCGTTCGTCATAACTCGTCTTTAATCTCACGTTTATTAAGCGCGCTTTTTATAATAATAAAAACATACAGTATACAGTTCTCTTTTTTTATTTTAGAGAGAAAGTAACGGATCCGCGCGTGCGTTTCTTCTCGCACGTTTTATCTCGAGGACCGAATGACGCAGATACGGTGCGTCACATCCGCGTGTAAAATTTCGAGAAATTCTGGCAAGATTGGAAAGCTCCAACGTGCGTTTTCACATTATGTAAGACAAAACGCGCCTGTTTATTATGGACGACGCGTGTATTACGGTACTCCCGATGACGGATGACTACGAGTGACTTCGTAATTGTCATGAATAAACATCGAGATCATTTTCGTGTATTCGTAGCCGAAAATCGATATATAGCTTAATCATTAGAGTTACTTAAACTTCTATCGAGCTAATCGCTAAACTATATGTACTCAATTAAAACCAATGCAAAATAATACAACCGAAAATTGATGACACCGACTTAAGCAAAAATTACGATAAAACTTACAAGTGTAGCACTAACAAGTTTGTGAAATAATTTCACGAGTTGTATTATTTAGCAGATTTATCTCATCGATACTAAGCGCCTTTTTATAACGAGATGACATTTGTAAAATATCTATTTAATTATATATACTTTTATAATTAAATTAATAATGTTAATTATATTATTAATTATATATAATTCACGTATCCGCGTTTCGCAGGCCTGTGCATAATATGGAGTCTATTTGCTGGTTCCATCTCGTACACCGAAGAAGTCGTGCATTACCGCACTTATCGTAAGTAACTTTCGTTTTTCGACAAAAACATCTCTTTTGGTGTAAATATATACCTACGATAAAACGTTTGTCCAAACGAGGCTGCGGTTTATTGAAATAATCGACGATTTATAAATAACCGAGGAATTATGCGATTCCGAGCCTCCGCGCGGAAAAATGCTGCTCACGATAACAATAACGATAACGACCGAAAATCGCGAAACGCTCTCACTTCATTGCGCTCGCCTCTAAAATCCTTACGTATTTTTTATATTAGTCAATCCGCTTTCGACTCACATAAGATAAAAATCGCACAGCGTACGGATACAGAAACTCGTACTCGCCGACGAGAGGGTGGTTGCATTCCTGGGATGCTGGACCGAGCAGATCGGACAGGCCGGTGTATGCCCGCAGGGACACGCAAGTGCGTCCGTACACGCAGCTAGTCAAGGTGCAGCATGAGCAGAGTGACCCTTTGGCGACCATCAGCGAGACCCTAGGCGCCTTAAACACCGTGGGTAACTATATCGTCAATATGACGAGGGGCGTCGAGATCTCGGATTATCCGCCGAAGGAGCTGCCCTCGGCGTTGTACACCATCTCTAAGAATATTTTAGGTAATCACTGAAATCAATATATTAAATTAGTAAATGAACATATTATACGTATGTTTATTCATTTTTTATATTAGTTACTACACAGGTACCGTAGGGCTAAGCAATTTCATGTTATTTATTCATACATACGCTTTATAAATTTTTTCAACTCCTTTTCCAGGCCGCAACGTGACAGACAGCATAGCGCCCTTAGTACGCGGTGTCGCATTGCCACTGAGACAAACAATCGTGTCCTCCACACAGGCGCCATCGGTCCAGCAGGAGCAGCAACAACAACAGCAACAGTCCACGGAAGAACTCGCAAATAGAGTCAAGGAGTCCGCACCGCCCGCGTGCACGACGGCCGAGGGTGGACCCGGGAAATGCCAGGACCTCAGCAATTGCCCGCAATTGTTGCTCGACCTCAACAAGCTGAGACACTCGTTCTGCTTCAAGAGTCTGATTATGCCAGGAGTTTGCTGCCCAGTGGACAAAACCAGCAATCCCTCCGTTCCGATGTAAGTTCCTTATTGAATTCACATTATTTCCTGGCTGGTCATCTCCTGTATTTTGAGAGAATTATAATATATTATTAAAATATTCTTCTTCTCGTGTAAAAGATGAAATGAACAAATGTTGCAGCACTACTGGAGGCGCGTCCCCTGCGATCGTTGGACACCCTCCACGACCGACGATTCGACCTACGAAAATTCCCACACCACGCCCGATACCGCTTTATCCGGTGACATCCTTGACGACGAGACCTACGTATATTGTTTCATCGCCGGACTCGTTGGTCAACAATACGAATGGCTTCGAAACAATAGCGACGATCGACAACAATTTCATTCAAGACGACGAGGGTACTTAATTGAGCACATTTTTTCTAACGCGTTAGAAACGGCAGACCTAACTGAAGGAAAATTCTTATCGGATATTCATTATGTCACTATTTATTTATTGCCAATAAAAAATGGTAGATAAAATTTGGAAAGATCTAAAACCAAGAATGTTGATCTGTCTAGAGTGCGGAGTGATACATTCAGGTAAATTTCGAGTGGTCGGAGGCGAGGAAGCCTTACCCGGTCGTTGGCCCTGGATGGCAGCGATCTTCCTTCATAGCTCTCGGCGAACGGAGTTCTGGTGCGGGGGATCGTTGATAGGACCACGCCACATCCTTACCGCTGCCCATTGCACTCGAGATCAGCGACAGCGGCCGTAAGCAACGTTCTATCAACATTCGAGATCTACACAATTCTTATTCTCTTTAGTCAAAAATATAAAAATGAAAAAATAAACACTCGAATCTTTTTATCCTTCCACTTGATTTCAAAAATTCCTTCAGTTAAAATTGTGCAAGAAATTCCTTTTTATTATTTCAACTGGAGGATAAAGAAATATATATTTTATATGTAAATATTTTTCATATAATATAATATCTCTGGATGGATTACAGTTTCGCCGCCCGCCAGTTCACTGTGCGTCTCGGTGACATCGATCTGGAGAGAGATGACGAGCCCTCGTCACCGCAGACTTATACGGTGAAGGAGATTCACGCGCATCCAGAATTCTCGCGCGTCGGTTTTTACAATGATATCGCCGTTCTCGAGCTTACCAGAACCATAAGAAGGTCGCCATACGTGATACCCATCTGCTTGCCGCAGGTCCGCGAGAGATCTTTCGCCGGCGCCAGACCGACGGTGGTCGGCTGGGGCACCACTTACTACGGTAATTAACATCTGGTTATGTCTGACGTACTGTAATTTAAATTCTCGTCTCACACGCCGATCCATTATCAGGGTCAAAACGCCAAAAATTGATCCAGTCGAAATTTAACTAGGAATTAAAGAAACAAAAAATATTTAATATATGCTCAAACATAGTCTTTCGTCTCTTATAGGATACGCACCTTACAGAATTAGTTTATAGAAATTTATTTCGTAAAGTTAAAATTTTAATTCTAAATTTGAGCTTAAATTTTCAATCTCAAATTTGACAAACTTGTTTCTGTTCTTACATCTACATATTTTCCTAATCGTGATAATATTCGTAATGATGATGTGGTATAACAGGTGGGAAAGAGAGTACCGTTCAACGACAGGCGGTCCTGCCTGTGTGGAGAAACGAGGATTGCGACGCGGCTTACTTGCAGCGGATCGACAGCAAATTTTTGTGCGCCGGTTACAGCCAGGGCGGCAAGGACGCGTGTCAAGGTGATTCAGGTGGACCGCTGATGCTGCAAATCAACGGTCAATGGACCCAAATCGGTATTGTCTCGTTCGGTAACAAGTGCGGCGAACCCGGCTATCCTGGCGTGTACACGAATGTCTCCCAGTTCATCTACTGGATTAAAAATAACATGAAGCGATAACGGAATCATGTGGCGGGATCGTATTTACGTGCTCCTGAAAAATGACACACATGCATACATAAATGTGAACTAATATATTCCGTAAAAAAAATGAGAAGTCGTTAATACATGTATCAATACATTATTTCTTGTAAAATTGATTTTTAATATCACATATTTTCTATAAGAAATAGACTGATAGAAATTAAAATATGTTAGAATGTATTAATTTCTGTGAAATTGAATACTAAATTCTGAAAATCAGGTTGATATAAGATATTTTATTTTCTTTTTAATTAATTTATTCTTTCAAATTTATTTTAAATATAGAATACTTGAGGAAATATTCCGATTTGGTGTTCCACTATTGTGCCAAGGTGCCAAGGTTTTGATATCTGCGGATTTGCATATGTGCTTCTTTTCTTTTATGATTCTGAAAATATGTCAAGCAACACGTCTCGTGTATAAGCACACTCCGTTAGGTCATAATAAACCACCTACGATTTTAGGAGATATTAAAAAGGTGTAACACATCTGTCACATAAATGTCTGTTGTTTTATCATTTTACGATATTTTGTTGCATTTATAAATGTGTGTACAGCCGTATTCCTTAAGCATAAGCATAGAAATATCTATAGTTATCCATGTTTTTTTGTGAAAACACACGAATGTGGTCATATGTATATTCATTGAATAACATATAAATTTATAAATAAATTATTATCATTATACATCGCCTACTTTCTCTCTCTTTTTCTCTATATATAAATATTTAAAAAACAAGAACTTTCTTTAAGAATACATAAAATATAATTTACAAGTTTATTAAAAAATTGAGAAACACATAATAGAGTAAAACAAAGAATTGAAAGTTTAGACGTGTGTTAAAAAATTTTATTGGAATTTCAAATTGGAAACATCTTTTATCGAAAAAAATTGATAAAAATAAGTAGCACATGCTATTTATTTCACGGAACATTTGAAGAATGCACATGACATCCCAACTGTCAAATTAATTTAAAAGTTTAAATTCGTGATATTTCGTACATCATAAAAATTCTTGCAAAAAATCAAGGTTTAGCATTGTTGCAATCTTCTTTGTTAAAATGAAAATAAAAAGCGTTTCCGTTGAAAATCTGGGAAATATCGTGAGACAAATGGTTAATGCAGCGCTTGAAGACTCCGGTTAGTTACTTCTACATCTCTTATAATGCATCGTATGGTTAGTTAAACACTATTATTATTTAGATCAAATAACAAAGTTACATCAAGCCATCTATGAAGAATGGTACTTCAAAAAGATGATGGAATTAGGAGACACGACAAATAAAATGGAAAATGTGAAAGATATTCGAAAGATCAGTCAGGTTTGTAAAAAAAAAAAACTATACACGAGAATAATGTGGAAGACAAATAACAATGATACGTTCACAGGAGACATCATATCCCTTAAATAACTTAGCAAGGAATATATCAGATAGAGATAACTCGATGGATACTTCAAACGAAATAAAATATTTGATGAAACAAGAACCAGATAATATCAAAATAATTAAGCATGATAAATCTAGTGCACGAGATATACCTATTATGTGCAATAAATCAGTTGAAGTAGTATTATTTTTTATCTATTCTATTTCATTTTGTTATATAATAAACTGTCAATTATATCTCCTAGCTATATTAAAAAAATTAAATTATTTTGCTTAATAAATAACAAATAACATTCTCTTTATACTTATAGGTGAATGTATGTACTAAGTGCAGCGAAAGAACTTGTTCAGAAATTTCTGAAAATCAAAAACGTATTAATAATAATAATGCGCCCAGTCTGGAGATAATAAAAGTCTGGAATAATCCAACGCAGAGAGCAAAAACTAGAAAAAAGCTGGAAAGCAATATTATCGATCATGAAAATAGGAAGCAAAATAGAGGGTTATTATATATACGTAATAGAAATCTTCAATTTTCACACAATTACAAAAGTTTGATACGTATAAAAAAATATTTATGTTATTCAGGAAATTAGTTAAGCAAGTGAGGAGAAAATTATCCTTCGAGTCTTGGAGGAAGGAAAAAAACATAATGTACAGAAAATTATTGAAAGAGGCAGAAGAAAAGAAACAACAAGAATTACAAAAGAAATTGAAGGACATTGAATGTAAAAAAGCTTCTCAGGAAGTGGGTATATCCTTAGAAAAAGTTATTAATTATTAATGCAGACATCTCTTTAAATTATCCGCTAACGCATCCTTCAGGCCCATGCGCAGATAATAAAAGAAAAAGAAATCCAACAAGGAAGAAAACTGTCTGTTAAACAGCTACAAGTGATTCAACAAGTAAATATTGAAACTCTGCAGAAACAAATCGACGACAGATGCGTTATCAACAATCAAGCGTTCAACGTCTGGAAAAAACAGAAGGATATCAAGCTGAAAGAAGTGTAATTAATAACAACGTATACATAAATGCAAAAATAACACGTTTGGAATATGATTCTATATATTTAGCAATAACAATATATATACATATCCATAGGGAAAATATACCTTACCATCAATTAAAGAGATCGGCGGGGCCATCAACAACACTTACGGACAGATCTAGTTTGCAATTCGACTCGTGGTTAAATCAGCTGAACAATGTCTTGCACCAAAAATATTTGCGAGAACGTCGTCACTTAGTACGATCATTCTACTGTCAACCTACATATTATGGTGCTGTGACTACGTGCTATACATAAATGATATGTCCAACTAATTGTTACAACAGACATTGCATAATAAGTCGTCTTTCATCATTTGGTAAAATCATCACTATAAAATCTTTCAGGTTATTAAATATTAAATACTGATTTGATAAAAATATTGACTAGCACTTTACATTGCTAGTTTATGTGATAATCCAATCAATCAATTAATTAGTTAATTAAATTTATCATTGATAAATAAAAATAATTTATAGCGACTAGACTTTTTTCAAAAATTGCACTACCTAATGTACTGCCCATTAGAGTACTCCATTTTCTACTTCCTATATATACATTATGTGTATGCAGGCACATGTATATATTCTCTGCAATATATATTTTTAATTTCATATCTTTTGTTTATCAGTATCCTTTAAATTATTTAATGCCTTTTGAACCAATACTCCTAAGTTCTTTGGAAGACTCATTTGTATCGATTGCAATTGTTGCATAACTTGACTTTCGGGCGAAGAGTCACATTGTATATTATTCTCACTTGTTATGATATTGTTTTCCTCTATATTATCTATACTACCGTTAGTTGTATGATCTAAATCGTTGAAGTCGCTATCACCTACAAAAAATAACAGTGGTATAATAGATCTGCTACAAATAGTACGTTAACTCAATAACTATGATTACAATTATCCGGTTATATTTACATCTCAAATCAACATTGGCGCTTGTGTATCCCTCCAAGAGCTTCATGGTTGGTGACTGTACAGCACTGTCCAATTCACAAATTCTCAATGCCAATATTCTGCAATTCAACATATATAAGTGAATCTATAGAAACGCAAGTATATGAATGCAATTAACGTTTAACTATTTACTTGTTCGCTTTCTTCTGATGCGCCAAAGCTAAAGTTTTGTCATTTAAAGCCTCCAGCAAGGCAGTGCAAAGGCACCGTAGATCAGTAACGGCAGCAGCAGATTTCTGAGGCGGTATATAAGAACTTTCTTGAAGAAGCTGTTCGACTAAAATTGAAAGAAAATATGTTCCTTCGTGTGAAAGATTTAATGATAAATAAATCTTCATGCGTGTATAAATAAATATATTTCACCTTGTTTGTGAGTCATCACTGTTCCAGCCGCAGAATTTGCTCCCAACTTGATAGCTCCTTTCACCCTTTTACTATCCAACATACTCTGAAAAAAATTAATTGCCTAATATCAGAAATAGTTACAAATTAAAAGAACGCGTAGTAATCTTTTATTTATTGTCAATCTACCTTGTACTTTGACAAAGATTGACGCGCGAGTTCCTTTTCCTCAAGCAATTGCTGTAGTCTTTCTTGCAGATATCTAAAATATAATATATATAAAATATATTTGTGGTATAAATAAAAATCAAATTATTATCTAAAGACTGCAATTAAATTACTCCTGATTACCTATTTTCATTGATAAGGGCATCCAAATCAACTGGTTTGGTAGCGTTTAAAGCTTTAGACAATTCGTGATTCAAACGATGCGCCTTACATTTGAAAGCATCCCTCTCCATCTCCAGTTCATGTTTCTCATCTAATACTGTTTGTAGATCCGTTTGCAACTGTGAACACTATGACAGAAATTAATCTCATTAAATAGCAATATCTTTTCAAAATATAAATCAATTCAAAGAATTAATAACTAACAATAAACAAGGTAAATCGATAATAAATAAAAAATTATGCATTACTTTAATTTTTGATACAATTGTGATATTAATTTTTTCTCTTTATGCTTACCTTCAAGTTCAGCTTCTCTAACTGTTCTATCATCTCTTCTCTTTGGTGCATGGATGGTGCTAATTGAGTTTCTTGCGGTTCAATTGGCATACGATTGTTATTAATACGTAACACCTTGATATCACCTTCGGCATCCGCTAGCTTCTGCCTTAAAGTTTCAACCTGCAGCCTGAGGCACTTATTTTGCTCTCGTGCTTCTGTCAATAGATCCAAGGTTCTAAAATCGTCCTCTAAGCTGTAACACCTGCAAAAAATATTTATTGCTCAATTGCTAATGAAAAGATCGTGGAACAGTCTTTGAGCAATGCCATCATGGGCCTGAAATGAGACCTGTTTAATTCCTTCATATCGCACATCTGCTTCTTCAAATGTAGAAACCTCTCCTGAATTTGCTCGGCCATCAGCTTAAACTGATCTCGTTGTGTCCTACATTGATCCATCTCCTGGCTCAACAATATGAGCGCTTCCGACTTCATTTGCAATTTTCTCTTTAACATTTCCTGCGAACGTATGCATTTTTCACATTTGAATTACGAAGTCTACGGGACGGAATGAAACATCTTAAGCAAACGTCAATTTACTTTTGACTCCACGTCGACATCGTTGGCGCCAGTTTCCTTGAGACGGCCCGTCTTTTCCTCCATCGTATTGTTCTTAATTAAAGACTATATCATAAGATACAATGAGCGTTTTAACACTTTTGACGGTCGAATTTCAATGGAATTTCACAGACCGATTTCACGATTTATTTTGCGAGCGATGAGGTTATGTAAAGATTGAGGTTAAGTTAGAAAGGATTCTCTTATGGTGGGTTTACATCATGCCCGACGTTTGTTGCACAACTTCCAATGAAAAGATCAGTTTTCTAGAGATAAAAATATCCCTGGCAAAATTACCGGAAATCTCGATTTCGTATTGGACATCGGAATTTTGTATATCGGATGTCGATGCAGTGTGAAGCCTCCATTAGGCCATGCACGTTGGTGCCTCGACGCTCGAGAGCTGTTGACACAACGTGATATCTGATGCAATATTAATGTTAATTTAAAGCGAACGGTGCATCTGTCCCATTAATTATTGACACGGCCGGTTGTATGTAGAAATAACAGGTTATAATGGACAGAGAAGGTATGTGACGTCAACATAAAATATTTATATTATAATGATATCTTGAATAACATAAAGTCTTTGACAAACTTTTGCAGAAATATGTCAATATTTCAACAGCATTATAAAAAATGAGAAGGATGTTTCTGCCGGTATGGCTGCCATTCGTACTTTGTTGAAAGTATTGAAACATTCTAAATGTAAGTATCGCCGATATATATTTTAATATAACATATTTACCCAACATATATATAAACACACATACATATTGCAAAACAGATATTTATCGTGCATATTCACGTTGAGCGAGCTTCTTAAATATTACGATAAAATATTTAAAATTCAACGTTTCCATTAAAACCATCTCTCATGTGCTCTTTTCGCTTTTGTAGCAGAGACAGTTCAGGAGCTCCGGATTTGCTTACAACATGCAATCGACGCTATGCGCTCCACGGAAACTCCAGTCACCGCGATTGCCTCAGGAAGTGAATTGTTCCTCCGTTTTATCACGTTAGCAACATTGGATACACACGTAAGAATATTAACGTTTAGACTTTGTCTTATAATTTTAGAAATAAATTCAGACTTTAAAGTTTAACACTGACATGATACAATTTGTTTATGTGCTTTTAATTAGTCAATCGCAGAATGCAAAGGAATCATGCTAGAAAGAGGCAAAGTATTTTACGAGAAATTGGTTGCAGCGCGAGGAAAAGTAGCCAAGGTAGCAGCACACTTTATTACTGATGGCTCGGTAAGAACAGATATATAAGAAATATTTGAGATATTCCTATTTATTTTCTCTTTTTACTTTTATTGTGTTATTTTTTTATCAGACTATACTCACGCATTCCAAATCAAGAGTAGTGTTGCAAGCAATGAAGGAAGCTGCTGCGAGTAATAAAATATTTCAAGTATACGTCACGTCAACATCACCTGACAATAATGGGTGAGTAATAAAATTACATTCTGAATAAAAAAATATATATTTTTTTATTCTTGCGATTCTAAGCTTTAATATGTGCTTTGTCTTTCTTTTTACGATTGTAACCTTCAATGTGTGCTTTGTCTTTATCTTTTAGAGAGGAGATGTGCCAGAGTTTAACAAAATTAGGCATATCGTGTACAGTGATACTGGATTCTGCGGTGGGATACGTGATGGAGCGCGTAGATATGGTCATGGTTGGAGCGGAAGGTGTTGCAGAAAGCGGTGGTGTAATCAATAAGGTATACGATAATTCGACGGCGATTGTATAATTCTTTTAAATTTATGTATAAATGATTTTCTCATTTTTTTTACAGATAGGTACATATACAATGGCTATATGCGCGAAAGAGGTGAAAAAACCATTTTATGTATTGACGGAAAGCTTCAAATTTGCGAGAATCTATCCTTTGAATCAAGTAGATTTACCTGACGAATTTAAGGTAAATTATATCTTTGTACACTGATTTCAGATCAATTATAACTTTTATATAGAAACAACGCAAAAGAATATTTTTCGCATGCTATAAGATGCATCGTTATTGCTTGTTGTAGTATACATCTAGTACTCTAAACAAGAATTTGAAAAAGGAACATCCCTTGGTTGATTATACTCCACCTCATTATATCAGTCTGTTGTTCACGGATTTAGGAATTCTAACGCCATCGGCTGTTAGTGACGAACTCATTAAATTATACTTGTAATTTGGAGAATTTGTCAAGTGGTGAGTTTTCTAAATTCCGCGAGTATCATAATACAATGTGAGAACATTATATGAATTATGTTTAAGTTTCGTCTGCCTGAAAGTGTAAAGACTAAGAAGTGTGGAAACGTTGAACTTTTGTAAAAGACTGTATATATAATCTTTATTAATTTATTATACAGCAATATTGAGTATTTATATGTGGAAACAAGATAAATGTCTTTCATATAATTACACGTAAAATGTAACAAGTAATAAAGTGTCTATACGAGGGTTACATTATGTTAAAATATATTAAAATGAATTTCTTCATAATGGAGTCTTATATAATTTACACACATAAACTGCTCATAATTTCGTGCAATGTGTAACACGGTGTGTCATTCGAACAAGAAACAGAACGTCTAAAATACAAGAATATTGAATTATTAACTTTGGAAGAGCGTTAAAAACGTTATAGCCGTTTAAATTTTATACATTTAAATTACAAATGGACACATGCATTTACATTTCATTTTCATCATGATTATATATTACACAGTAATTTATGAATATAAGATTATTATCAGAGAAATGAGAGAAGTTTTTATAGTTAGGATATTATACTGCAAGAGTCTTAATTCTACTTCTTTTCCCCTCTTCAATGGCTTATATAAGACTAAGGTATTCTTTGACTTAAAGTCAACAATATTAGTCTTTTCGTGATATTTTGCGTGTTTCTTTTCAATGAGATTCCATACTACAAAGAATTAACTGAATTAATATACGATATGACAACGGAGATACATTGCTTAAATACTATATATTTTAAATATACTGAAAATTTCTCATATGGAAAATTGTAAGTATGTAGAATTGTGATCGTATACTTTATGTACAAATCTCCGATGTTTCCACTGTGCTTCTGATTTTCATGAAAAATGGCAAAATTTACAATAAATACACAAATATAAGATACATTTGAATACACACCTACAAAATTCAATGTACATATGCTCATTATATGTACATCCGAGAAACACTACAAAATATTAAAGAGAACACACGATAGAATTGAATAAATAAAGCACAGAACATGCTACGTCATATTCGTGAATACGCAATAAAAATACATATAATATTACATATAAATATTACATATAAATTCAAATTATATATATGAAAGTGATAACAATATTACTTGTAAAATAAATTGAATTATTATGTGGACGGAGAAATATAATAATTTATGTTTATAAAACAATAATTAAACATTACGAATTAAAAACATAAACAATGGCATTCACATTGACATGATTTCGTAATGATGTATATAATGGCAATTAATGCATCGTGAGTTAAGATTCTTTTTATTCAATGTATCAGAAGTATCTCGCTAATGTGGATCAGACAGAAGTTGCACCAATCATATCTTTCCTCGATATATCATATGTATATTTGTAAGATAAAATACGGTTTGGTTGAGTGTGAGCATTTCATATCTTTAAAGCTCGATATATATACAAATTATTATAGGAATTTTATGACTTGTAAATATACAAAATAAGAGTCAGGAAGCTATAGCACCAATTTATACTTCTTGTTGGCTGTAAAATACTCTTAACATAATACTCATAGATACGCTTGCGATAGTGTCTCGACCACGGTATATATTTGTTCAAAATGCGGCCGTTTCTCTGGTTCGTAGTCCCAGCATCGCAACATTAATCGATAGATCTCTTCGGGCGTTCCATCCGGAGCTGGCATTCGATACCCTGATGTAATTATTATACGCATAAATTGCCAGAATAATATATAATCGCAAGCGTATTAATTTCCAGTTAATTTTTCGTCGATTTCTGTTATTCGCTCTTACCTGCATCTATCTTCTCACGTGCCTGCGAATTGGACATACCGCTATAGGGGTTGCCACCTTTGGAAAATATTTCCCATATGAGAATCCCGTAACTCCAGACATCGCAGAGCGATGTGTATTTACCTGAAAGACAAGATGTAATGTATCGGTGATTAGCAATAAAATTTTTGACATCATCAAAACGGCGAAAACGAAAACTTGTGATTTACCGAAATTCAGAGCTTCTGGCGCAGTCCATTTAATGGGAATTTGTTTCATACCGTCCGAAACTATGTATTCTTCCTCCTCTCTTGACATTCCAAAGTCGGAAATCTTGACTATGCATTCATATCCTAAGGAAATAATGTTCGACATTGTATTCAACATTATACATATATGATTCAATTATCACCGCTCGTCAAGTTCAAATTTAGTGTGTCTTTCCTCTTTCCCTCCCCTCTTAATATGTAGTTTATTTACCTACGAGGCAGTTGCGAGCGGCTAAATCTCTATGGATGCAAAACTTAGATTCCAAGTAGCTCATACCAGCCGCAACATCTTTGCACATACGCAATTGTTCCCATTGTGTTATTGTACTAGCATTCTTCCGCAAATACGTAAGTAATGAACCACCTAGAGTTAGCGATTAGCGTGTAGAGTATAGGTACATTGTAGGGTATAGGATTTTAATACGATAGCACGACGGCCAGAGATGTTAACAGTGTTAGTATAACGCAATGATAATGAGACTTATCAGCTTACCGGGCACCAGTTCCATCACGATCATGATCGGCTGCTTTTGAACACATATGCCGATAAGTTTGACTATATTCGGGTGATCGTACTGCTTCAATATCCTTCCCTCTTGCAAAAACTTGCGTTTCTGGTCGTCCGGTAACGATACCTTACATGTTTTCACGGCCACTTCAGTCTTACAAGCCTTCAGTTGCGCCTTATAAACGTCTCCGAAATTTCCCTGTGTATCACATTGTCGGCATCATCATATCGCGGCACGTAAAATACAAGAAAGCTATTGTCGGCCTACTCACTCGACCTATTTTCTCCAAAAGGATGACATCATCGTTATTAAGTTCCCATCGCTCGCGCGAAATTGCCGTCTTAAGAATAGCACCAGACCGACTGGTCACCGGCAAGTTGGACGCCGATTGATACCTGATTAATTCTTGAATAGATGGAAATGTGGGTCCTTCAAATCTATAATGTCCCTGCAATAACGTACGAATTAAATTCTCTACTATTTTAATATTATATATATATTCTATCAGATTTATTCTTACTTCTGATGTAGTTTGTACAATAAAATGCTTGTGCCCGTCCCAGCAAACAGATAAAACTATTTGACACTCATCGTTTCTCATTGTTTCGCGTACTAAAAAATCTCCTTCATTGACGAGTAATCTTACGACTTCTTCTCTCGGTAGTACACCGTGAAACCATTCCTCTTCCATAAGAGGAGAGCCATTTCCGTTACTTTTTTGGTTGTTAGTTAAATGCGAGATTCTACGTAACGGTACCTGCAAATAAATTTAATTTTCTCAAATATATATTGACAGTAAAATAAGTAATAATTTGTAATTTTAATCACTTCCACATATATATGCTCATTTTATTTCTATACAAATGTATAGATATTAGTACAAAAATATTCATTCTCATGCATAGCATTGACCACAATCTCATAATTCAACATTAATAAAAAATATTCTAGATGATATGCTCATTATTCATGCATCATTTTCTAATCGTAATAAATCATGTAAATCCATAATTTTGTATATAAAATATGGTAGCAAGACAAGGTTGCTTGCGAGCCTTGCACTAATTTTTGTAATTAAAAAATACGGAAAACTAGATACTGCCTACATCTGTGACAGTATAACGATAAAAAATTTATTACACTCCAAAAGCTGAGAGAAATGTGTTGTATATGAGATCTGACATAAAACATATCAAACATCTTATCGCTTGGACGCAGGAAACACACGAGCACTCAGATATCACACGAATAAAGTGTAACACATACAACAGGGGGGATATTTTTTTCTGCTTTAGCTGTGGGCCCTTCGCTATTTGCCCTAATCATTCCGTTTTTCGAGTCATTAATTGTCGGCAAGGATTTAAAAGGTGATTTTAATATTGTCATGAACCGCTGATTTCTCCTCAGTGTGAACAGACCGTTGTCTGCGACTGTATTTCTCTGTAAAGGGCTAGATCTAACTAACTTATAATTCCAGGCAACTCAGCGTTCAATGGGAAAGAGTAATCAAACATAATAACACTTTCGTAACATAAGTGCCACAGTTAGAAAATGATTTTCTATACAATGTGTGATTTTCTAACTTTTGTAGATACTGAGATTTGATTATAATAAACTTTAAACATTTCTGGGAACATTCTTAATATCAAGGAATAGTTGCATAATACTAGATCTATTATAATTAACAAAATTTAGTTTTTTTTTCTTACCAAAAAAGAAAGAAAATTATTTTTTAGATTACTTACTTTATTAATTGCAGGTGAATCAGTGAAAGAACCTTCCACGGAAAGATCACAACCCGAAGGTACCTCTTCACAGCCTAATTCATTGAGAGCGCTTCTAATGACCTCCACTTGTTTCTTTAATTTTTTCTCCTGGCAACGTATTCTCAGCTCTTCTCTTTCGCGAGAATAGTCCAAGACATTAATCCTAGTAATATAGGACACATGAAAAAGATGTTTGAGGATGTCGAACGTGATTGTAACGAAGTATTAGCATTAATGCACCACATCAACGATAAAAGATTTATACCTAGAATCGCCATTATTTTCTTGTGAGAATTGCGGGCTCTGTCGATTTTGCGTGGTTTTTAGAGAAGCTTCGAGTTCCGTGAGACGACTTCTCAACCAATCTATAGTTAAGTTATCGACAGTCAGCTTATTTGGCGATAATTTTCCTGAAGTGTCATCCACAAGGTTTTCATCGAATGTAAATCTTATCGGAGATGCTGGCCTAGTTCTACGTTAACATCGAAAATTTATAACATTTAGGTATATTAAAATTGAAATATATTTTCTATGTAGAAATAATTATGTTTTATATATATACTTGTGCTTTCCAATAAAATCTCTATACTCTTCGATAGGTTTAATATTATCGACTGCCTTCAACACTCTTTCATGGATCTCCAAGAATTTCTCTGTTGTAAAATCTGTATACTTGACAATATCCTGAAGTATTCCTTTCCTAAAAATTCGCGGAAACTTAGATATTATACATGTGTGTGAAATAATAATCGTTAATCTCTATATAAAGTTTTTACCTTTTCTATCTTTCTAGTTGCATACAAATAGAAAAATTTGAGGTAAAATATTAAGATCTTGTTTAACGATAAAAGGAGTTAGAACTTTTCTAGGAGTGTACCATATGGGTATCGTATATAAGCTATTTATAACGCAACTCACCATGAAGTTATGAATTCCTGGTGAATAGCCTGTTGTCGATGAAGCAAACTTGGCAAATAACAAGTTCTTAAATCATTTTCACATTCTGTCACAGCGCCTAGTAGTAGGACGTATTCATTGTGCGTTAGATGAAGCTTCCTACACGCCTTCTGATATTTTTCTCTTAGTTCGTCCAACTTGCGACCTCCTCTACCAGCTAAAGAAGTTACGTTGCTGTATCACTTTCTTATCACACAAATACAACAGATTTGAAATGATCCAAAAGAATTGTTGCACACAACACTTACACTTAACATATAACTCTTCAAATTTCGACCTCGAGAATTTGTACGCCTCCAAACTTTTCTGATATTCCACTTTTTTCCTAGTTACATCTTCCGTCAGCTTCAAACATATGAATTAAAAAGAAAATTTAAATGACAAAAGCACAATGAGATTTATCTAAATTTTTACCATTTTTTTTGCCATATATACTTCGATAAGTATAATATATACTATATTTATCTTGCTTACCTGCTGAAATTGATTATTCAGCCAATTCTGTTCCTCTTGATACAACTTTCTGGCTCTCCTTCTTTCCGAGTACAATGTACTCAACTGATCTACAACGATATTTTCAATAGAATCTGCCTGCTGCTTGATCAATTTCGCCGTTTGATCAATCGTGTCCATTATGTCTCTCCAGCTCTGCAAAAGTATGTTTCTATATATACTTTAAGCAAAATATTAGCAGGATGCAATTGCCGCTAGCTGTCGTTATGTTCTGTTAGCAGATTCCGTTACAATCAAAATTTCTACTGGCTTTCTGCCGAAAGAACTCGTAGCAGACATCTCACACAGCTGTTCGCGCTCGACAGAGATTCGGCTATCTAGAACAAATTAACCACCTGCGCTATGAGACTGCCGACGAGATCCTCGTTACGCTCGATCTTTTTCCCCTGGGCGGTGAGCGAGGTAATGGTCGAGGCATACTCCCGGTCGGACTTGACCTTCATCGTGAGGCATCTTCGCATCGTCTCCAGCAGCTTGATCTCGGCATCCTGGCGGGCCAGCAGCGCCTCGTGCGATGCCTGACCCTGCAGGCTCGTGGAGAAGCCCATCGCTTCCGATCCTTCGGCGGATCGCGGACCGTCCAGGACTGTCAGGCGGTAACGCGGTACTCAACGCCGGCTCATACTCGACCTACAGTGGAATATTCTAGTCGTGACATCGGCGGATATCCCAACATTTAATTTAGGTGGGCTTGGCGCGGTTGAACAACGACGACGACGTGTCCGGGTCGTTACATGACCAGCACGGAGCACCGACGACGACGACGACAACGACGTGTGCCGTTACTCCGGCGCGTCCCCGCGCAGCTCTGAGATCAACATTTATATTTATACCCGTCTCTCCCAAAAGCTGCGAGAAAAATTCACTTTTACCAGCGAAATACCGCCACTGGCCACTGGATACGTCGCACGATGATGTCGATCAAGGAAGTCCGCTGTGGATCACGGCTCGATCCCGCCGCCTCGTCGATGTCGATCGCGCGATCTAAAATCCCTAATCCCTAGTTCCTCAGTCCTCACTATAGAGACTCTAGACTCTAGTTAATCGGCCGCGCCAAACCCGTCGCGCAACGCGACGGCGACGGCGATGACGACCTTCGGGGGCTTCAGGCCTTCTGCAATCGTCGTTCTCCGGGACCGACGTCTTTTACAAATATAATAAAATAAAAAGAATATGTTTGATATGCTTTTACAAGTTATACAAAATTATAAATTTTTTACAAAAATATTATATACACATATTATATTTTATTCATAGAGAGAAAGGATTTTAATGTTTTAAATTTTAAATTTAGCACTTCAAGAGAGTCGCGTTCGATGATTTTCTTATCTCGCGTCGCTCTCCTTTTATCGCGCATCGCGCAGTCGCCAGATGGGTATCGGCTATCGGCCCTAATCTACGCCGCTCGTATGGTCAGTGCTACATACAGCGCGACTGAAAAGAAATAATGCAATACTTATCTTAAGTTCTTTAATTTTTGTTCTTACAAAATTTCATACAAAATATTATTACAACATTTCATAAAACTCTTAATTTTTTTATAAAACAAATATATATACTAAAAAACGCAGACACGTACGACAAAATGGCTCAAAGCCGATTATATAATTTTTTAAGGAATTATTAAGAGATCGACAATACAATTTCGGAGTTATATGTACGTTTATTTAATTATAAGAACTTCGAAAGTTACTTTTAGATACTTAATTCAAAGAAATTAAAGCAAATGTACATACAAAATATTGAACGATGTAAAAATATATTTTTATAGTTGGAAAAACGTTTCTTCTTACAAGTTTATATATAATGCTATACTTATCCCGTGCAGCACATTGTATGTATGTGTGTGTAATTAAATCATATTTTTATATAAACATATTTAAATTTACAACTGTAATGTGGCTTTTTAGAAATCAAAAAGAAAATACGTGTATGTAATTTCAGGTACGTCATAAATTTACAAAAATGAAAGACGTCGAACTTCTTGGTTGGGAATATCGAATAGAAGCAAGTTTTTTGGAGATTTATAACGAGCGTATCGTTGATCTTCTTGATTACAGACCAAAAAATCATGAAATACGAATGGTTAACAATAATGAAGATATACATGTAACCAACCTTCAAATTCAAGAAATACACAGTCAAGAAGACGTACACGCGTGCCTATGAACTGCACAACACAACCGAAGAGTTGCATCTACTCAGTCAAATAAACGATAATTTTATTTTGAAATTTTATATGATTAAATATTTATTAGGATATAACATAGAATTTAATTTAAAATAAATAATAATTTGCACTTCAGATCATCCAGATCTCATTCAGTAACAAAAATACGCTTGATTGGTAAAAATAAAAAAAAAACTCCCAAGCTCCCAGCTTGACGACCAATTTCAAATTTAATCAATTCACTTTTACGTGAATTTCGTAAATTCCGTGGAAAAAGCAGAAGAAGAATGTATTCACCTTTGGACCAACCGGCTTAACGTCTCTGTCCGAAAGACGGAGCCCAGTTTGCTCCGCACAAGGGCCTGAATCTTGCACGGAGGAACGCAGCTTTCGGAATAAAAATTCCACGGGTCTAGTGGACTCGAACCCGGTTCCACAGATTACGAGTCTGGCGCTCTACCACTAGACCACACTGCCGTCCGATATTGTATGTATTTTATATTGTATATCATAACACTGCTGCTCATTTTATAGATTCTTTTTTTCTTGATTGTATGTGTTTTTAAATAAATAATCAATTGTAAATACAGTTGAAAAGTAGTTGCAAAAGTGTATATAAAATAATATACATATAATAATATATAATAAATAATGTATATTAAAAAATTTTGTATAAAGTTTTTGAGAAGATCAACGTTGGAAATTAAAAAATTAATAATACATTTTCTTAATTTGATGAGTTTCTTTCAGCACGTACTATAAATAAAAATATTGTTTGTTTCAGGTTGTGTACATCATTCAGCTTCATTGACGATTGTATGTACTATTGAAGTAGGTAAATCGGATGGATCAGATGCAATGAGCTGCAGTGGAAAGCTATATACGGCGAGCAACAAAACAAGAATTTTCATTCGATAAAGTATTTGCTCCCATAAGAAACAAACGGCGCACAAGGAAAAGACTCGATCCTCGATCAGATCCCCACCCCCGAGCCTTCTGCATGTGTTATTCTCATCTCGCTCACTCCACGTACTGTCTCGCTCGCTCACATAACGAAAAATCAATAACTTTGCGTTACCGACATTAGCACGTGGCCCAAACGTGGACATTGGCTACGTAGTTCATGTGCACGTTTTACATCGTTCCCAGAGGGCGTATCGCGTTCGCGGATCACTGGCTACTGCTGCGGGCTGCGGCTGCGAAAACAGTGCGCGGTGATAATTCGTCCTATTGAGAAAGACTTGCACGCGGATCTTCCGTTGGACGTCGCAATCATGAAGATGCAAGGGACGAGCTTGGGGAGCATAAAGAAGAATCCAGCCGTGAGCACTTAGCACTCGCAGATTAATTCGCGTCACGGAACATCGCGATGCCATGCAATGCTCTCTCTCAACGTCCTCTCTTTTTCAGCTGCTCCCGCTGTACTTCTGCATAGGGCTAGGAGGCCTCGGCGCTTTCTTATACACGTTACGCCTGGCGACAAGGAGCCCGGACGTCTCCTGGCTCAACAAGAAGGAGGCCGAGCCGTGGAACTACTACAAGGACAAGCAGTACAAGGTGCCGACACGTCTACTTTGGATGATCCGCACGTCGCATCAGAATTCAGAACGGAATTCTATTTATAATTTTGCATGTCCTGTAAAAAACCATTTCAACACTTACAAGTGCACACGCATACACATAACGTATATGCATGAAGTTATATGTGTATATGTGCATTAACATATGTGTGTACACATATGTCAAAGTAACATATGTGAGAGTATAAATAGAATTCCTCCATCTTGAAATTTAAAACACGTGTTCGAAAGTGCAAGCTTCGAATAATTTTGAATGAATCGATTATTCAAAAGAGAACTCCATGTGTGCTCACGTTTGTCTTTTTTTTTTGTTACAGTTCTACGCGACAAAAGACGAATACAGCAAATCCAAGAGCCCAGCGCCCGAATACTGAACTGCGCCATGGCCATGTAAACTATAGTATTTGTTATAGGAATAAATTGTTATATAAATCGCTACCTCTAAGCACTTTCGTCTCTACGCAATGCTATTATTCTTCTAACCAAATGGCAGGAGCGCAGCAGTTTTAAGTCACTCCCAAAACGAGTACGTTAATCCAATTGGAATGTATTATACATTGTGTGTAATTTAATTTTGGAGAGAAAGTTCAATATTAAATAAAGGAGTTGTGCGCGTATCGTGTGATGCCGACACAGGCAGTGCATTCTCCTCTCTTCCTCTGTATTATTAGATCAACGATTTTTTCATATTTCGCGAAGGTTTTAATCTTGAATTTTATACAAGAGTCGTTACATAGATAAATTGAGAATAATTTTATACGTGTGTAACGATAACTCGCCTATCTCAAACGTTAGTATATCAAAATGTAATAAAGATAATGCAGTGTTAACATCATCTCGTGTTTTTACTTATGATGAATGTGGAAAAAATGCGACAGATTTATCGTGTCACAAAAAATGCTACGGTCAACGTGACGCTACAAATACTTGGAAGCATTCCTCTTCTCTTTTCTTTCAATGAAGAAGGAGAAGAACGCTCCAAAGTATTTGTAACGTCACGTTGACCGTAGCCAAGGACTCGTGTTCTCGTCTTTCCGCGAGACAAGATTCTCGAGAGGCGTGGAAATTGAGACGCGTGAATGTATTAATTATTATCTAAGGATATACAAAGGCGTTAGTTTATTTTAAATCTCGCAACTGGTGTTTGCTAAACGCTAATCGACGATTGAAGTTGAGCCGATCCTTTTTAGAAAAAGATTCGACGCGCATCGAGGTTAGTAACTACTTTTCATTTTCTTTCCGTTTGAGGTTAGTTCGACACTCTTTATTTACGGCTCGCAATTCACGCGTCTTGGCGTGAATTGTCGCAGACGGATATTTTACGAAATGTCATTAACAGTACGTAAATGAATGATACATTCGACGGCGTTGACGTGAGGTTAGGAGTCCTCATTACGTAATACATTACGTATGTCACGCATCGACATAAACATATATCTATCGACATCTCCATGAGTTTTTATTGTTTCTCCTTCTTTACGCAGCAACTCTTTCGAGTCGCAGCCGTTCACGATGGTCTCAACGTGGGAAGATTTCTACGCGAAGCATCCACCCCCTCAGGACCTGGCGCAGAATGAACAGGCGCTGAAGGAATTCACCAGGAAGCATCTCGAGGCGGACAAGAAAGTGGTATTGGTGACGGTGAGTTCTAGGATTTGTGACATTACAGGATATGATCTTTCTGCGATGTTCTCTACTTTCAACTTGTATCGTTGCAGAGTGGAGGTACGACGGTACCCTTGGAACATAATACAGTGAGATTCGTGGACAATTTCAGCGCGGGTACCAGAGGCTCGGTTTCAGCGGAATACTTCTTAGAGCATGGATACGCAGTTATTTTTATGTACAGGTAATAGGATGTTATACACTTCGTAGCATAAATTAACGAGATGATGTAACAAACGTGTCCCTTTACATTTTCAGAGTCAAATCTCTGGAACCATTCTCGAGACATTTTATAGGTCAGAAGTTTTTAGATTTGCTTCACATATCAGAGAATAATGAGACGTCCGTTATCACAGGTAAGTTACGAAGAATAATTAACCATGTATAATCGTACATACGTAATCCAAATGACGTAGATGTCATTGGTATACATTTATCCTTACAGTATTACCAGAATATACGCAGAAGGTAGCAACAGTGCTACGAAAGTATAGGGAGGCATTCGATCAGAAAAAGTTGTTGCAACTAACTTTTACGAGTCTCTCCGAATATCTCTGGCTGCTTCGATCTGCTTGCCAAGCACTAGCACCTTTGGAGAACAAAGCTATATTATATTTAGCAGCAGCGGTCTCGGACTTTTACATTCCTTCCCATGAGATGTCAGTCCATAAGATTTCCTCAAGTGGACCACCAACTATATCTCTTCAATTAGTACCAAAGATTTTAGCCCCCTTAGTGAGTTTGTGGGTCCCGAAAGCATTTGTGGTTTCGTTTAAATTAGAAACCGATGAAAGTTTGCTGATTTCTAAGGCAAGAACCGCCCTCAACAAGTATCATCATAATGTAAGTAATTATTATTGTAAAGCATATCATGTTTTCTCTAAGATATAACTAAATTTTAATTGTTTTTTGTCTTTCAGCTTGTAATAGCCAACATATTGCAAACTAGGAAGCAACAAGTGGTAATTGTGAGCAAGGAGACTGATTATCCTTTGTCTCTTACAAATGAACAATTAGATAATGGTGATGAAATTGAACAGTTAATTGTAAGGGATCTCGTTGAGAAGCATATAAAGTTTATACGGTCCAAAGAAGTTAGTTGATCAGCTTGTTTTAAGCTATAAAATATATTTTAATATATTTTTAATTATACGTGTGTGTTTTTACTTCCATTTTTTGGAAGTAAAAAGATTTTATGATATGACACGTGGAAGAATTTTAACGGTAATGGGAAATACTCAGGTTTAGTATATACTACTATATTCTATATACATATCAGCGTTGTAAAGTAATATAAATGTATAGAATTCAGTTACAAATATTTCGCACAACAAATATACATTCACATTCTTGTACAGTTTATAACAAACAGAATATCTGAGCGGATTCAAATTTTTTATTGATATTAATTAAAGCAAGATGTATATTTCTTATTGGAATAAGTAATATACTATGTTACCAATCTCGATAAGTTATGTCTTAGATGTTCACTGATCTGTAAAATTATTCTAAAATCACTATTCTTGTCAAATGTTACGTTATCTGAATTATATATGTAAATGCATCTTATAAAATGACCTTAAAAAAAAAAACCTTAATTTTTAAGACTAGCTAGTAACATATTGATCTTGTCCACGAATTGTCTGTCTGACGATCCGCATTGTGCCAACACAAATGTGAGAGCCGAAGCATCCTTTTGTTCGTACGCTGTTTGCGCCGCTTCGCTAAGCAAACTGCAGAATTTCCATATTTATACTTACATATATGTTTCATACATTTTATTTACATCTTAAAAAGTATATTTCCAGCTACTTACTTTAACTTCACTAGATATTTTACTTTAAGATCATCTTTAACTTTGGCTAAGTATTTCCTTGCTTCTAATTTTTCGTTATACTTCAGGCATTCATCTATAAACGGCTTGAACATGGAAAAATTGTTGAAAAATTATTTTATCACATCGATAAACGAATGATATATAATTATATAATTACGTGAAAATAATGCAAGTTTGTTATTTATTGTTACCTCGTAGCCAATGGGAGACTTTTTACTTTTGGAGAACTTTTCCAAATCATTCCATAAGCCTTGTTCCGCTAGGCATTGTATTCTTAACCACCAATATCTGTGTTAAAATATCACTTCATATAATACAAGAGACAACCATAAATAATTTGCTTAAAGTTATAAAAATTAGTATACCTCCGATCTGGTATTTTATACTCTGATCGTAATTTATCCGCTAATTTCAATTCGTTACGCAATAATAATATTTTTACAGTATCGTGCAGAGGCTTTCCTACTATCGATTCGTGTAGCGTATCCTCTAAAGATCTCTGATACTTCAACAGTTTTATCTGTTCTTCTGTTAATGACGCGTTAGTATCATTACGAGCTAATCTGAAATTTTCCTGAGCAGACTGCAGTAATGCATCTCTCGACATCGTGTTCTAAAAATAGGCAATATGCTTTTACCTGTTTTATATTATAAAAAAATTATAAATGTATATAAATAATTGTACCAACCTTTCTTTGATAACTCTCGGTGATAAACCACACCGCTTGCGAATGGAAATCGTCGTACTGATTGTAAATATCACGCAATGTCTCTCTATTATGGCTCTGACAATATTTAATATACAATGCCATTGCCAGAGGACAATGCATTATGGACATCTGCGTTAAAGATCAGTTATATGAGAACAACGTAAATCCATCTGCGCTTGGAATAAAGTATTATCTGCTTACTTGAAAATCTCCGAGAGTCATATTTTCCCTGAGATGAAGAATGACAGTATAGACTAAATCCGTATTGCCGCTTTCGACTGCTTTATGCAGAGCAGCACGCTCCTCGCCAAGTGTTAACAGCAAGGGTACTTGTTGACGTGCACGCGGTTCGTAGTCGATTAACTGAAAAGATGCTAATGTATAGTTTCCCGCGGTAAATTATGTAATACCCAACATATTCGTATAAGTACATTAAGAAATTTACTTTTATGGCCAATTGCTTTCGTCCGCAATCCGCCGCTCTTTTCGCGATTTCGCTATATGAAACACCAGGAGCGTATCCTAATTTATCAGCGATCTCCTCTGCTATTTGTTCCTTATCTAACTGCGTTTGTTTCACCTGTGAAGTACAAAAAGAAAATATATGTTTTAAACCGCTCGTAAAACTCGTCTTTTTACGTAAAATCATTTCTTACTTTGTAGCAAGCCCAATGTGCTAATATTCTACTTTCTCCATCAATCTCGGGTAATTGCAAGTGACGCGCTACTTGTATACTTAAATAATAATGTCTTCGTGCTACCAGCCGATCTAATAGCACTTGATTTGTGAGAATATTAAATCTAACATCATTAAGGATTTTCGTAGATTGCAACAATTATCAAAATGATACGAAGAACGCATGAAGAGATCTTACGCAATGTATATCAACTGAATACAAAAGGATACTGCGTATATGTTAACGGAATCCCCACAGCAGGATGTCTCACTGCATTCAAGACTCTCAAAATCCTGCACATTTGAACGTAATATTCTGAATCTATCGTTTTGCTGAATCCTTTTCCAAACTTGGCAGCCTGACGAAAAATTGACAATGTTAAATAGTTTTAATATCTCTCTCAATAAATGTAAGTTTGTTCAACTTACTCTCATCAGAATCTTTTGCGTTTCGAAATCAAATTCGTGACTCGCACCGTCAATACACGCTTTTATCGCCGAGTCCAGCTTATCCTTCACTAAATCTATATAACTGTCGGCCTTGTGGCTTTTCTTCTGAAACTGCTTAGAAGCTTCTAGGAGATAGGAAGCAGGATCCGTCGAGTTGATTCTAAATATTCTTTGGACGACGTTTGGTACTTTCTGTATCATTTCGTGCGAACTACTTGACAACACACGTACTCCGTCAATCTCTGTGACCAAGTGTACTGGACCATCGTAATTGTATACTATAGTATCAGCTGTACGGCCCACCACCATTATCGTACTGTTCCAGCTGCACACTACGGCTTCCGTACCACACCTGTAAACATTTGTCAAATCCTAATATTGTATTCTCTAAAATTTATATTAAATTTAAATAATTTGAATTATATTGTGTTTACTAACCAAGCTATATTTGCAAAAGGTTCCTTCATATTCGTATAACATTCACAATACTTCTCTCTAAAGTCTATCGAACCAATGTACAAATGTCCAGTATCGGAATAAAGCGCAATGTGTCGATTATTGGTGGACACAGCTATCGCTATCACATTATTGATCTTATTACTGAAGAGATTGCTCTAAAAGCAAAATAAAGCAACACTTGAATTAAATATTGATTTTTAAATGCACAGAATTCAGGTCAAATGAATTATATAATAGTATGCTTACAAATGAATAAGTGTTTGGATGGGACTGATGAATTACAAATATTCCTTCTCTATTTGACAAAATTACTTGTGTCTCCCTGTCGCAATGTACCATGCACCAACAATCAATTGGATATCCTAGAAGTAAAAATTGTGATAACAGTGAAAATTCAAGGAGAACCCGTACAAATATGTTATATTTAATATATTTACTTGGCATATCAGTGATTGGTCGGACTTTAGGTTCAGACACATTGTTCACTAGAAATATACGATTGGTAGACGTCAAAACGGCTATCCCAGTACTATTAGATGTCGTGAAGAACTTTGCATCGATAACTTTAGTATCTTTGGCTGCCTTGAAAGGAAAAAAAAATAATGCATATCAAAAAATTCATCCATAATTAGAGATTTATAGCTCGTTGACTTACATTTCCCATGCTAAAGGTATGCTGATAAGTTCCGAACATGTCATATATGAGAACCATGCCATCATCTTGCACACACAACAATTCTTCTTGCTGGGACCAGCCGAACGATATCAGTTGTCCACTGCTCCACTAATAGAAAGTTAAGCAAAGAATAAGGAATAAATGTAAAGAAAGTTAAAGTCGTAGAGAGTCTTTGAACTAAAGAGATCTCACTTGCAGCTTGGCTGTCGGTTTTCCTGACGATGTGTACAGCAATATTAAAGGCTTGTTAGCCCCTTGGACTTTGACGAGTTTCTTCGGGTTTCTCGTTACAGCGATGGAGCCCCCGTATGGAGCCGCCACTAACAAATTGTTGCTGGAAATCTCGTACTGGAAGGATATCGGGTACAGCTCGAATTTGCTGCAATAAAAGTCGGTAACGGGCCATTAGTAACGATGTGTCAAGCAGTGACAGCTTCATTGTCACACAAAACATAACCGTGCAAAAGCGTTATACTTGTCAGATGTGTAAATTTCAGGGTACATTTACCGAAAGTATACGTCTCGTCCCAGGGGAAACCAATCGGCAGTCAACATCGCCGACATTTTTCGACGTGATACTGATTAATGCCAGACAGTTATAACAAACGATCGTCTCCGTCGGTTCTCGGCGTTTGACGTTTGAGTCACACGCTACAGTCGCTACACTCGCTACGTTCTGTTTACTTGATAGTAAAATATTTATATACGCCGATACCCAATAGGAATGTGCGCTTTCTAGTAACAGTATCTTTGTCCCTGGAAAATCTCTTCTTCCTGCGGACGCAAATGCAATACAAATCTCAACAATTTATTGTAAACAATGCAATCTGTGTTTAATATGTCATCAAAATGGCAATTAATCATCTATAGAGTCTAATTTAAAAAAAGAATGAATCGGATTTATTTATATAAGTTAATTGAACAAAATTTCTTTAATTTACGTTAGCTTATGAAAAATATTACATTTACATTTTAATATTTTAATATTATAATTAAAATATATATTTTTCCAAGACTTGACACAGTATCGTCAACGTTTATCGCAACTTTCTTATTTTTGTGATTAAAATATGCATACATTGACTATCTACTTAACAAAGCATTTTAATCGTCGATTAAGCTAATTGGAGTTTTAATGTTGGTCAAAATTGGTGAAAATCACTCCAAGTCCGCCAATAAGTCTTCGCCACGTGGAAGCTTCGTAATATTTGCATTTACTACGATACTAAATATTATTTATTAATTGAAGTAGTTTGTGTTTCTGTACACAGTAGATATAACCTTCAATCTTCAATAGGTCTTTCATCCGTCCAATAGTATCTATAACATTGCCCAGCCCACTCCCTGCTAACTTGTTATCTCATCAGGATCTAAAGTCCACCGAGATAATTTCTTGCGATTCATTGTTGGAATAATTGGAATTTATCCCCCGTCAATCCAAGTATAAAATACACGACGTGTTTAGAAGAAGACCTTCAATAAAGCTTGGACGATCCTCGTGACTAGTGAGAGTGAGGGCCGCGAAGCTTATTAACATTTATATTGAAAGAAAAATTGAAACTCGAAAATGTTGAAGGTATGTTTGTCGTTTAAACAATGTATTCATACTTCTATCTTTTATTACAGCAGCAATTTGCCATTTGTTTTACTTATGTCTCTAATTAATTACAGTGGTATATATAGCTGTACACATATATTTATTGTACATATATTTTAATAATAATATAATGTATTTTACACTATGTTTTTTACATCAAAAAACGTCACAGGGTTTTCTTGGATTTGATTTAGGATTATGTCATACTACAGTTCTTGTTTTTGGACAATGACATCGGGTTAAAGGTTAAAGTCATCCTGAAAGGAACATATGGCCTTATTTAGATTGCTTTCTGATATTCACACCTTAGATTTTCAGCATTGGCTGAATATTAGAACGCAGTCTTTGAAATAAATAATCTTGTTAAGCAACTCGCAAGCATTTGGAATAAAGTTGTGATATAATTATAAGACGTTTCTCTCCAAAGAGAATAATTTTTATCTAATATATTTTTTTATCCGGGATGTCAGCTTTGGAGATAATTGCATGTAAAAATTAAAACGATTACATTTTGTATCAAAATGCTTAATGGGACTCATTTGTGATAAAGAGAGATAAAAACTGTTTTTATTTATTATAGGGTACTGTGGCTTTGGTGACAGGCGGTGCCTCCGGGCTAGGCCGTGGTACAGTAGAAAGATTCGTCAAGCAAGGTGCAAAGGTGATTATTGGCGATTTACCTACTTCGAAAGGTAAAACTGTGGCCGACGAATTGGGAGAGGCCAATGCAGTATTCGCACCTATGTGTGTATGTATTTAAAACATTAAATTATGTATTATCTATATTTTAAAATTATAACTTGTAATTTTCCATCAATATTATTATGTTCTATTTATTCTTATTATATATCATGTATTCTTACCTTATTATCTCAGTTAAATGTAACGTCTTAACTTTCTTTCTTCGAAGGTAACTTCGGAATCTGATGTCCAAGCTGCTCTCGATCTTACGAAACAAAAATTTGGCAAGCTTGACGTTCTCGTCAACGCCGCCGGTATTGCCATAGCTTTCAAGACGTATAACAGTAATAAAAAAATTCCTCACAAACTGGAGGATTTTGCTAAAATTATCCAAGTCAACACCATCGGCACCTTCAACGCTATTCGCCTCTCTGCCGGCTTGATGATTGAAAACACACCTAATCAAGATGGTCAAAGAGGTGTAATTATTAACACTGCAAGTGTCGCGGCTTTTGATGGTCAAATGGGACAGGCTGCTTATTCTGCTTCGAAAGGAGCAGTCGTAGGTATTGTCTATTCATTTTCTCACTCTTTTTATTTATTTAGATGTTTAGTTTTTTATTTTCTATAATTTATATTTTAATGTAGGAATGACTTTACCTATTGCTCGCGATCTTTCCAAGGATGGAATTCGTGTTGTAACAATTGCTCCAGGACTTTTTGATACTCCGTTATTAAGGGCACTGCCAGAAAAAGTACGCGTCTTTTTGGCGAAGAGCATCCCATTTCCTCAGAGATTAGGGAGTCCCGATGAGTATGCCATGTTGGCACAGCAGATCGTTGAAAACCCGTTATTAAATGGGGAGACAATTAGATTGGATGGTGCTTTGCGAATGCAAGCTTAAAGAGCTATCAGTTTTTTATTCTGAAATAATTTCTGTATCAAAGATTTTTCACGAGTCTTATTTGAGTTTTTTTTCTATGTAATATATGTATACAATAAAGTTTTGAACTTTTCTATAAACTTTAATAATTTTATCCTTGGGACCGTCAGACATTTTTTATTTTGTATATGTTTCCCTCTTTAGCATGTAATCGAATTTGTTTTCATGACATATACAATATATGATATTGTCCTTAACAACATAAAGAGGCCATTTAATTTTAGCATATAGATTTAATTATACACTTTCAGTATGTTGGACAAGGAAAATGAAAACGAAAGATGAGGAATATTGAATGAATAGTCCTTTTTACATGCAACACCAGTGTAATTCCTTTGAAATGTACGCCCTTTATAGTACACAGGTATCGACAATTCTTTCTATTATCCCATTCACTGTACATCGTCTCCTACGAAAGAAAATCTCCCCCTCCGTCCCCTTCGTCAGCTTTATTAACTCAAGAGTTTAATCAACTCATTAAAGCTCAATTTGTCCTAAGATAAGACAAATTAATTCTTCTAATCTTTTATTAATCGGTCAACACAAAGAAATCTCGGTGACCTTATATAAAGTCTTACATAAAGTCTTGGTGATCTTGTCTATTAATTTTTCTACCCTTTGTGACTGTTCTGATTTTAAACATCTCATGTACTTCAAATTATTTCTTATTCAACAGAATATTTTGTTCAATTAATTTACTAGATCATCTCTCTTCTTCAGGATGTTAATAAATCAGTACGGTAATCAGTATATAAGTAGCTTCATAAATGAATCTTTTCTTATGATCCTGATTCGTTAATAAAGATATATAACATACATTATTTTCAAAGTAGTTCGAAGTTAAATCTTATTCTGGACATTTTTCCGTACTTTCGGTACGCGAAAATAATTCTTATGCTTATATAGCCATAATTTAGACAGTCTTCAGCGCATTACTTGATCTATTAACATCCATTACTTTAAAGATAGGTCAGTCACAATTCCAAACGTCTTTATTCTCACCACTACTCGATCACCATAAGAACCTTATGAATTTCAGATAGAGTCTTAGCGTGAGTTTATTACAGTTAGTCTTTTTTGCCTAGCACCTCAGGTGATCGCCAGAAGTCTAGCAGATGTCGGAAGTTGGCGGGATGGCCATCAGGCAAGGTAATTCTGCCCTTGTTGGCCCCGGGGCTCAGTCAGTCCTAGGCGTTCGATTCCTTGAGCGTTTGCAATTTTTCCAATTGATCCGGCTGTAGCTCATCTGGGATGCTGGCTCTTCCTCCTACCAGCATTTTCCCTGGCGCGATTTCGTCCTCTTCCATGACCTCTGAAACTTCTTCCGTCACTTCTACTACCGTTCCCCTCGATTGAGAATTTTCGTTGGTGCTGGGGCCGGAAGTTGATTCCGCTTCGCTTCCAGAACTGCTGCTGATTGGAAATGGTGCCGAGTCGGTTGGAAGTTCGTCAATTGTAGACTTTTCTTCAGCTTCTTCTCCCTCCTTCTCGTCCAAGATGACGGTCGGTTCTTCTTCCTCTTTACATTCGCTTTCATTTGGATCAGAGGCCGCACTTGAAGCTTCAGGATCAACTTCGGAGGCTTCTGCAGACTTTACCGAGTCTTCCGGAGTCTCCTCCGCACCGGGGAAGGGATGTTCGATCTCTTCCATCGGAGTTGCGGCTGTGATCACTATCTGAGCCACTCCAAGACCGTAATCGTCTTTTTGGCTAGTGGATTTGAAGTCTTTACCGGATTTAGGATCCTCGGGCTTTTCCATCTGCGAATTGAATAAAGTTTTATTCTTGATATAAGGTAACTCTGTGTAACTCTGTAAGTCTGTATAAATCATATCTCTCATATTTCATTAGATTTGAGAAAAACAACATAACTATTTCATTGTAGAAATAAAATTTGATTTTGATGAAATCTCTCTCTGAAGCAAACTTTATTGTTAATCATAAGAAACTTCCGTGTAACATTAATATATTAAACCTTTGATAAAAATAATTGCATGCTTTTTGTAAAGAAGAAAACATTGAAACCAAACGTATAAATAATTTTTCACATTGTACCAAATTACCTTATCACCTGATTCATCTGATATCTCCACGACTGTGCAGCAAGTCATAATGTTTCATAGATTAAAATGAATAATACCTGCTGTATTTCAGCTATTATCATAGCAATTTCGAAGATTTCTATTTAATTTGGAAACTCACCTATACCTGGCGTTTCATCTTCCTCGAACTGTAAACCGTAGTGTTCCTTTTGGTCTTGCGACAAATTTATCTTAAATATCCCCGTTCCACTATCCCCGTTCACCATTGACTTCTCTTCTTGCGATTCTATAATAGACACATATAATAAATAAATAAGTAAATGTATATATGTGGAAATACTCTTTTATTTTTATACATATAAGCAATATATAAAAATAATATGTGTAAGTACATACATGTACAAAAATATTCCAAATTAATAAAAGTAGCTATAATTACCTTCCATTTGAGCAAGCTCATCGGCTAGCAAAAATTCTTCCGGTGCTTCTGGTGGAGTAAAGACTGGCGGCGCGGAACTCGGTGGTGTTACATTTTCCTGAAATAAAAAAATGTTATATTACTTTTCTGTTATACAATTAGTTATAAGTTGATTATTCGATTTATAATTTTGATTCTGATCTATTTAAAACGATACTTAATTTCTCACCTGTGGGGTCAAAGGACATCCGTCCGCACCACAAGGTTCCACGACGAGAGAGGGGAAAAGACCCTGCTGACCTCTCAGCTCACCTTCCCACCAGCCGTCGTCTACATCGTGTGGTTCTTTTTTCAACACCTTAACGATGTCACCTTCCAAAAAGCTCAGCTCCTCCTCGCATGTCGCGTCGTAATCGTAAAGTGCGATGCAATATTGCTCCATTTCTATAATTTAATGTATGTATCATGTTATTTTGAATATCTGAAATTTTAGATCCTGTCGAGACAAACGAGAGGTATAAACGAATCGAATTTTCCGATATACCTCCAACGTGGTTTTGTATTATGGCTTCCGAAGCGGCACTTTGCAAATTGGCATCGGGGTCGACGGCGTCATGATCGTCAATCGTGTAATCAACGGATGAGAAGGAGATCTGCTGGACCAGACCTGGACCCTGCGAAGTTAGACCGGTGGTGGTCTCAGGTTCTCTTTCTACATCGAGATAGTTTTGAGGAACGAAACCTTCCTCTCCTCGGTAATTTCTTGCTCTTAACCATCCGTCGCCATCGCCTTCACCCACCACATCTAGCTGCTCGCTTTCCACGATGGAAAGCTCATCGATATTTTGCGCCTAAAAGAGAAAAATTAGTTTGTTTTTATAGAATATATACCAAAAAATATCACTTTAATCAAGGATATTTCTAATGCACGAAGTGCTATTTAATTTCCTATAATCAATACTTTGTATTTATTCTATAAAGTATAATTCTACAGAATCGCTTACTGTATAGGAGTATAGAGCAGTGCATTTGTATATGGGTTGGTTAGAAGGCATCTCTGGTGTCTCGTGCGTCATGTCCTGTTCATCTTTCTCTTCGTTCTCCCAATCAACCGACATAGGATCTTCCCAGCCTGCCGTTAACTGCTCTATCCGTTGCTTCTCCTGCTCCAGCAATGCTAAAAAGATAATTTTCAGTTTTCTACACGGTATATATCAAATATATAAAATAAGTTAATGTAAATAATAAATAAATTATGTAAATACTTGTAAAATTTAATTTTGTATGAAAATTATCTGCATACCATCGACTTCGGCACTGTCATGCCTCTGTCTTTCTTCAATTTCCTCTTCCTGTTGAGGCGCATTCTTTCCGGGTCGCTCCAATGTCGTTAGGTCGCTTCCGCCATCGCCGTCGCTGTCGTAGAATGAGTCCGATGATGGATGTTCCTAAAAGTAATATTGTATATAAGTACATTTCTTTTGTTATTATTAAAAAACTGTGCATAATTTTTTCACATGTTTTTATTCTTGACTGCACAGTGTTATGATTTAATGAGAGCGATCGTTCAACAAATTCTCTATTGTCGGATACAATTATTTAAGTGGCTAATGCTAGAGATGGAAAACTAAGATTGAAAAAATAATAGAAAATATTTTTATATATTCATATAGAATATATCTATCTTTGTTAGAGAAAAATTTGACGAATTGCACATTATGCATTTTGAGAATTACCGCTGCACCAGATGCATCTGTCCTAACAGAGAGAGAACTAGCCGAACGCGGCATGTCCTGAACGCTTAGTGTTTCAGCCTCTTGTAAGAATTCGTCTACGTTCACTGTCAAATACGAAGCAGAGTAAAATTTATAAACTTATAGATCAATGTAAAAAAAATGTTATATTTCTATTAAAACAGAAAATATTAACAAACCTCCACCGAGTCGAAGACATTCTAGCCTTGCTTCCGCCTTGAGTTTTGCTGTCTGTTAGAAAAAAATATATATTTTATAAGTAGGTACGATACACTATAGAAATTATTGTAATTATCATTTGACTTAATTTTTGGATATATATCAAAATAAATAATTCTTTCTTTTTTTTGTAGATAAAGTTAAAGCTTACCTCTGCTCGTCGAACGGCGTGCTTCAATTCATCGATCTTAGTATCTAAATCTGGACCATTAGGATCGTTCGGATCAGTCTAAAAAAAAAAAAACAAATTAGAAAGGTTTACAATTTATTTTTTCTTTCCTTTCTTTCAGGACATCCAGTGACACGAACCTTCTGACCAGACTCTTTGAGTTGGTATAACATTTGAAGTTTCCGGTTATTTTCACGAATGTTGCTGACCTCGCGGGCAATTTTTGTCGACCAGCGACGCGCTTCTTTGCCCAATGTCGTCGCCGCTGAATGATCGGCAGTTACCCTAGATTCGCAAAAATTTTTATACAGATCATGCTATTAAAATGTAGTTTCACAGAAGATAATTTTTTGCAACGCCAATTCAGTACTGATTACGTCTAAAATTTATTTCGTTATCATATCGATATGATTTAAAATAAAACATTATAATCTACAAACTATGTACAGATGATCTACAAACCTATCTACTGGATCGTTATCGCAACGCTCAAACTCGTATTGAATATGTTGCTTCAAAACAGGATAGTATAAACAGCAACATTGGATATTGTACTCCCTAGTAAGCTGTAATTCGACATGTTATTCGTAAATCCTTTCCTCGTTGTGATCAAAAATAAAAATTTTTACAGTAATATCAACATAATAAAGATTAAGAAGAAAAAAGAATACAAATCTCGGAGTATAAAGTAGGTAAGGAATATAAAAATTAAAATAAATGAAAAAAATAATATTATGAATAACATTGCTGGTCTCTCTATTATTCCGATGTCGATTTTTAGACGTACCTGCTGAGCTTGATCGCGAATCTTGCCGAAGCTGTTCTGTGTGGCTAGACAAGTGAGCAGCTCCGTGCGTCCCATCAGTGTTAAGTACTCCGCTACTTTGTCGTAAACTCCTTGCTCCAAATACTAAACAACGTGAAGAAATACAGCAAATAGAAATAGTCTCAGGTATAAAATATAAAAATCGAGATTTTGCCAAGATAAAAGGAACAATAGCAATTCACATTATATTAACGCATACGGAGATTGCGGAGTAGGACATTTGAAATTATTGCCTCGACTTAGAAAGAGCTTAGAATTGCGCATTTAATATGGAATTGCATACTAAAATATTTTCTGATCTTACTGCTATCTTTCAATTTGCCGATCGCATATCACCATCACCGCTGTGTGGAGACTTACCTGCATGGTGCTCTGTAAATCGACTACAAAATATCGGTTCTGATGGGCATTGGCGGCGGCGAGGCTCAATAGGTAATCATTGCGAGCACCAGTTGATTTCTCCTCCAAAGCGTCTCGCTTCGAGCTCACCTGACATGCAAAAGAGATTATTCAAAACTAAAAAGTATTTGTTTAATAAAATCCATAGCCTCAAAAAAATTATGAATTTTGAAAAGATCTCGTGTGATGATTTACGTCTTAAAATATCTGCAATAATCGATTAATTTTTATAATAAAGAATCATATACCTTGGCGCTATTTTTCTGCAAAGACGTTATTGATTGGAAGAAGGAACCCTTCTTTTTCTTCAGTCTGAAAGCATTGAGTGAACATGAATTATTGCATTCGCGATTGTGCGGCCGCGGCTCATATAGTTAGCCAATAATAATGATAATACACAGCGTATGAAAAAGAAAAACAAATGGTCAAAAAGTTGAAAAGATTATTAAAACAAGTAAGAAAACTTCGAGTTTCGAGTATAAATATATATATACAATATATATTACAAAGATAATAATACATGTTTTTTTGTAAAATTGTTCTCATCAAGAAACAAAATTATATTAGAGTTTATATTTTATAAGAATTTTATCAAGGGAAAAATTGTCGCAAAATTTTTTCTCAAGAGAGACTTAATTTTCGAGTAAATAAGTGAAATTTAAATGATATACGTACTTTTCTTCGATGTCTTTTGCTTTATCACGCACATCGTGTGCGCTATGTTCTTCATCAAAGTACAATTTCTTCGTCTTGTCGACATCCTGTACGCAAGTTTGGAGCTCTTTTTGTACTATCAATAATTGGTCGATTGCCTAGAAATACATTTATTACAGAAGTATAGGTGTGCAATACGCTACATATAGCATTTATAATATAATATTTATACAAATAATTATATTTATGAATATAAATTGCATTTATAAACGCTCTGCATGTATACAATTTTCTTATAATTTTTATTTAAAAAAAAAAAAACATATTTTAAATGTTCTTTTCTAAATAATTCAAAAATCTATTTCTTTCCAACTTGTGTTATCATTGTCATATTTATATATCAAATACATAAAATATAAGATGTGTATTATTAATTTATGGCAAAATCTTCAATCTCAATACCTTCTTAGAGATTTGTAATTTGTGCATTCTGAGGATCTTGGCGTCATCGGCGATTTGCTGCTGGAAGATCTCGACAGCGGCGAGGCGTGCGCGCGCCAGCTTCTCGTTCTCCTCCAGCACGGTACGCCACACGTTCCACATGTTCCTATAATCATTCGACCGCCCGCCAGCGGATCGCCATTTACCTATGACCCTTCTTCTCCTTGGAAAACTTCCCCGATCGATAAACAGCCGGGAATTGAAACCGGTACAATTCCGTAGAGGTCAAATTCCCGTGTATATGATACGCGAATATATAATTCTTACTTTTGTTAAGTCATATCGATTCATCTTTATGTTACACGATAACGTATCAAAATTTCATGTATATATTAATTGGGTCAATTAATTATCAGAAATTAATAATAGCTAATTATTAACGTAGATTATAAAACCAATCTAATCTTATTAGAATTAAATATTGTAAGTGCGCAAAAATAGTTTTTAATGTGTATAAGATTTTCCGCAACATATATATGTTATACGTGCAGACTTTCGTTTTGCAAGATCTAATTACCATTTCTCTTCTGCTCCATCGAATTTGAGATCTGGTATATTCGGTATCTTCTTATTTAAGTACGCAGACGATATTTTGAGTAACGCCTGAAAAACGGTATGTCCATATCACAATTAAAAAATTAATAGTAACGAGTACTATAAATATTTATTACTATTAAAAAATAACACATAAAAAATGTGAATAATTCCTTACCTCAGAGTAGGATTTTTCAATGGCAGACTTTTTTATCGTAAAATTACTGAAAGAAAAAAATTACTATACTTATTTGATTATCGAAACCATTTGAAAAATTTATCAACAACAATTTTGAAATAATAATCACAACTGGTAAACTTTTTAAAAATATAAAATTATTCTCCCAAGCTGTAAACTGTATTATTTAAAAAAACGCAATATTGCGCCCAAATTGTCGTTTAATAACAACTCACCGTATGTCTTCCAGAAGATCGCACTCATGCTGATTTTTCGCCTGCAATTTTGCCGCCTGCTCCGTGTGCACATTTTTTAGAAATTTCGCGTAGTTTCCCTTACAATCAAACAAAGAAAACAAATTAAATAAACATAAATTAGTTATTTTACTATTTCACATTTTAATTAAAAGAATTTTAATTATAAATTACTTGAAGTTTCTTATTTCTAGCAATTAATCGAATCTCTCAAGCTCTCTCTCTCTTTTTTCTTTCTCTTTCTTTCACTCCTCCAAGTGCAAATCGAAAATCAATGATAATCGACACAGGGTGTTTTAATATCATATGAAACGGTATTTATAGTTGTTTCTTGGTGAAGAATTTTTTATTTAGCCATACGTATGTATATGTGTATGTATACGTGTATGAAGAAATGTTTCTTTTCTAAGAAACGAACATCGCCCAATGACATAAAACGGTAAATTGCAAAGTTAAAAATTGCAATAAAAACAGTAAATCATGTTGTTAAAATTAATCGCAACTTTGTAATTAATTTTTCAAGATATAATTGTGATTAAATATATTATGTAAGTAATTATAATTATTATTTAAAATGGTAATGCTATATCCATATAGATTATATAAGAAATATAAATAAATATGAATTTATAAATTACTTATAAACTAGCATTTGTAACGATTGCTCTTAATAATATTTATATTATACACATACACACACACACACACACATTTAGCAGTGTAACGTAATGTCGTCCAGAAATGCACGCTGCCCAAATCTTTTTGACAAAATCGATAAAAACATTTCCTTGAGATTATTCTATCACTCTGTTACTTTTTAAAAATTTCTATATAATTTTATAATTTCTGTAAGCGTATTTCGTCTCTCCACGTAATATACAAGACAATATCAAAAGTAAATTGCTCGCGAAATTCCGACATGAAGGTGTTAACAGCGATTACGTTGGACGTGCACTCTTTCGCCTATCTGCTTCTTCGCTTTATTAATTCTTCCTTCCCACCCTCTCCATTTCTTTCTTAAAGAGCGTCCTCCTTTGAACTGTCAATTAAAACCGGCATAATTTTACAGAATTTCAATTCTGATGATATATAATTATAAGTAAACCTCGCTCTTTCTCATTCTATTACTGTGTATTTACTATTATTAGATTTTTATTACTTTTCTTATTTTGAGATTGGTATAAAATTAATATTATCATTATTGATATTAAAGGATTAAAATTGTTTCAATATTCTTCAAAATTATTTGACTTTTTGTAGAAAACACGGATCTTATAAATTGAAGCATATATTTAATTATTATTATTTTTTTTGTGTTCTTGATTATACATTATTTATTACTGATTCGTACATAGAACTATATTATTAAAATCGCGCGAAGAATTGCTATGTCATTATCGTTTTATATTGATTAAAAGACTGAGACGAATGTTCAAGTTTCTTTTTCTACGTGGCTTCGGCATAGGAAAACGATCTTTACGTTTGACACGATATAAGGTCGATTTTCTTGTGTAACTATAACACAAGAAGATGACTCTTGCGTTTCGGACGCACTTGGCTTGACGTAAAGACGTTTCTCCCCTACCTACAGCATTGAGAGTCAACCATACAAGATTACAGCGGTTACAACCCGTTGTTCGGAACGGGGGTGAGTTCTGGAGTACGCAATGACTTCCTCTTACTTTTCTCGGCGGTGGTTGCATGCTGAGGCGAGTTTTTCCCGCAGCGCCGGGGGTAGAGGAGGAGGAGGGGCAGTTTTGCTCTCACTTGCCCTCGCTCACTCGCGACTCACCCTCTATGCGCACACACCCCACGCACGCACCCTCGTCGTGCACCTGTCGCGCGACCGTACGCTACTGATCTCCTGCCCTCCTGAGGCCGCCGCCGGGGGTAGTACGTCCCTTATTGATCGTCCAACCCCCACCCCCTGATAGCGCGTGCGCCTCCCCCGGGTCGGGGGAGGCGAACGACTTCCTTTTTGACGACCTACTAAGCCTCGAAAGGAGAGATGATGAGAGGGGCAGATAAGGGGAGGGGGTTAATTCGAAATCCTCATAATTTTAGTCACTATAATTAATGATTTAACATGTTAAAAATTTATTCGATTTATCATACTGGAATGTACTTTGCAATAGGGTAAAGTAATGACAAAGATTTTTACTCTATTTGTGTGTATGGATAAGAATGAAAGCTCCATCTGGAATGTTGTCTATATGTGAGAATGGTATTCTTACAATGTCCTTTTGTCCATATAATAGTCTCAACTTTCTCGTGAAAACATAGATAATGTTAAATTAAGAATTGAGAGAAGTTGAATATAAAACTATAAAAAAACAAACCACAATATGAATTCCACCCTTAAAAAAGTCTCAAGAGCTTAAAAATAGGTCGAGTATCTTAAAATTAAAAAACTCATGCAAATATATGGCTAATATTGTTTAGTTAAAACTTCTTTTTAAAATGTCTATACATCTCTGACAAATTTTCTATATTAGGAAATACTTCAATAATATAAAAGCCCTTTAGGAAAATTGTAATAAAAGGAAAATAAGTTTGAAAGAGTAAAAATGGCAAAAATTTATTTGAGAAAAAATCGCGTATTCAACTTTGTTTATTATAATAGTATAAAACGGGAAAGACCGATGGTAGTAGAAGATACAACGATAATACATCGATCGTATTCGCAAAAAATGATACACCTAAGTAAATCTATATACATATATATTAAAAACGCTTATATACACAAAATTGCAAAAGATCACAAAAACTTTATGACAAGAGATGCTAGACGAAGAAATTCATGTCATTCATAGTCCTAATATAAGTCTTTTTTCTTAAACAGAGTCATACATACCTTCAAAAACCGTATGGTGACAAAAGAACGACATTCATACACATTGCATTATCATTAATTATAAATATTCCTTCGTCTTTTGACTTCAATAATGTTTTTAGATAGAATCGTATAAATTCGAAACAGAAGGAAACCGGGAAAAAAGCAAAACATAGAATCGTAAAGACTGGAGTGCATAGTATCTTGATAAATCTTTCGATGCATCCTGTTTTTTTAATCACACGGTCGAACAAATAGAAAACCTAAAAAAATAATAATAATAATCCATATAATAGTAAAATACAACAATATAACGTCAATAATGAAGTCTCGTTCACAAAGTAATACTAAAATCATTTCTTTTCGTAAATCTTTCAAAACATAAATACATTTTTCTTTACGGGATCGTATAAATTCCGTGACAAAAGGACGGAAATTACCTCATAAATAATTGATTCCTTCTTTTTCTAAGCTGTAGAATTTTTAGGATATGCATTCTGGAAAATTTTCAGCGTATATCTTCCGTTCACAAGATCCAATGTATTCCAAAGTCTTCAGAGTTCAATTTGTAACGATTCAAATCAAATGCACCTCAGTCTTTTAAGAATCCAGTACACTCCGGTTTTCAGAATTAAGTTCTCATTCTTCAAGATGGAGACTACAAGATTTTCTTCAAGAACTTTTTTTAAGAACTTTATAAATAAATATTTTCTTAAAGTTTGTTTTCAAGATCTTTTTCAGGATTTCGAAATCCCATTCCAGTTTACTCCCATCTATAACGGTAGCTCGTCTGATGGTATCGGACCCAAGTCTTGATCGCCAGGTCCCATCGGTCCATCCACATCAGCGTCCGAACCCATAGGAAGTCCAACTACTTCTGGCTGGGAGACTGCTCCTTCAGCAACCTGGAGAAGCATAGGATTTCCAGCAGCATCCAGAACAGGGTCGGCTGTGGCTTCAGCCAGGTTCGTCACTGACTTGGATTTAACGCATTGGAAGTCAACGTGACGACTCTTGGCCTCTTCTTTTTCCCAAGACATATGGATGAAGGGACGCTGAACATAATTGTAGATGACCTCAGCGCGACCACCGGCGCGTTTCTTTACTTTCTCTTTGTAAGTCGGATAGCCCTCGATGCCTAAACGAATTTTTTTAAGGCCACGCTCCTTCATTACTTGCTTGGCCACGTCTCGGTTTTCGATGTACTTGAAAAAGCGATACATCGCCGTGCTATTGACAGCTGAAAGTAAAAAAAAGGGTATGATATAAAATAACCAATGTTTGAGATCTAGATTTTAGACTTTACGAAATAAAGAGAGTCAAATAAAAGTAAGAAAGAAATTGAACTATAATAAAATAAAATCACGAAATATATATGTGTACAGTTTTAATTTTGAAACAAATTTCAGTCTTTAAAGAAAATTATGTTTCTTTTATGTTTATGATATATAGGTTTATTATATCAACGTTTAAAGTCCATTAGTTAAGTCGCACACAAATTCCAGGTCTCTACATAAAGTCCAGCATTTCCTAAGTGTGCGAGGGGTTAAATATATGGTGCACATTACAGATATTAATATCACAAGTTACCTTGAGAATTTATTGCTGAAGAAAACAGGCGGAACTAATGGAGATTATGCCTTCAAAGACAAAGTTAATCGATTTTACATTGAACACAGTGTAAGGTTAACGCTTTCAAAAAAGTTGCACGTGTTTTCTTAAAGCTTCTGAAGGTTACTTATACTTATAACAAATTACGTGTTATATCAAAAGTATGTATAAAAGAGAAGATTTAAAAGAATTATTTTAAGTGAGTTACACTATAGAATCCACGCAAGATATTTAATATTATATTTAATTTTTAATAAATAAAATAATTTAAGTAAAATAAACTGCCAAAATATACTATCTAAAAATTTGTGTGCTTCCATATTAATTAATATAAAAGTTATGTTTGTTAAAAACAAGAAGTTTCAAATGATTACTCATTTAAGACTTTATTCACTTCTTACGATAAAGTTCTTAACTTAGAAATATACATATGTAGAATGTTGCAAAGCTTAAGGTTCCTGCCTACTTTTAACACTTTTCTTTGGCTTTAATAATCATTAAATAACCGTAAAATTAACGTAACACGCAATCTGCCTTTTTAATCTGTTTTCTTTAATTTTTAATTCTTAAAAATCCTATTCACTTACTTTGGGAGTATTCTTCTCCCATTTGGGGCGGATACTCCTCATCCCAATCGACGATATCGTCTTCGAGCAAGACGACAATATGACACTCGCGATCACCGCGTCGCGCACTGTTCACCATCAATGGCAAGATCAAATCCTCTAAGAATACTTCGAACTGGCAGCGTGCACCTTCATTCGACAATTCGTGTAGCAATCCTCCTGCAACAATAAACTCTTTAACTTTAAAAATTCCTATATAAAAAAAATCATTTTCCATCAGTTTAATATTTTTTTTTATTATATATTATAATATATAAAAAAGAACACAAACTTCTTTTATAAAACTTATAAAAGAACTGTACAATATATCAAATTAATAACAATATATACATATATTGTTTCACAATACTTACTAAGATTTTGGCATTTTACCGTGCTAGCATCAAAAGGTACCAGCAGGTAGTCGCAAGCTTCTCGTAATTCTTGAACGCTTACGGTCGGGGGACATCGAATTACTCCGCCCTTATAATATTCTAAGATAGCACGGAAAACCATGGCAGAAATACCATCGGCGACCTCATACTCGCCGCGTTCATTAGGTTGAGCATATTCCACGCCTGAACTGAACATACGACCCAACATTGTATTAGGGTGCGCTGTGAACAAAGCTGGATCAACGATAAATCTGAAACAAAAAAGATTAAAATGGATTTAATAAAAAGATAAGTAAATCAGCAAATCTAATAAAAGAATAACTAAATTACAATCTTTCAGCAACAGTATATTTTCTGAGATGTACAATCAAAAACATAATTTTTGTTTAGTAATGTAAAAGTAGCTTTCTAGAGCTTTTAACACACTGCAGAAAATAACATCATTTTTGTACTATATCAGAGCATAATAATAAAAAACATTAGAATCTAACTAAAAAATATATATCTTAATTTTATATTTTTAATATTTGCTTATTTAATTTAATGTATTATATTAATACGTTTCTATTATCACCTGGTATTATCGACGATGAGAGTGATTCTTTCATCGCTAGCTGGCTGATTGCTAATCCCGGTAGCAGATGCTGTTGACGATCCTCCGGACATTGTGATATCTCTGCCACTGTTTTGATTTTGATTTTGACTTTGTTTGGCCATATTGACGTTTGAACGAATTCTGCGAGAAAGATTAATTGTCTCTCTTAATAAGCATATGTATTAAGATATTTTTTTAATAATGTAGGAAACTTCTTGATAGATGTATAAGATGATGTGGTATTAACGCAATTTGTAAGACCTACCTTATAAATTGCGAAGCCCGGTAGCTCGATTTTGAGATTTGCAGACATTATAAGAAAGAAAGAGTAATTGTACGAAATGAATATAATAGTTAAAATTCGTGTTTTATTTCTTTAATATCAATTTTATTCAGTAAATAGTTTAAACTGTGTGTTTTCAAAGAAATAAGCACACAGGAAAACTTCGGCTTTTATCTGTTACGTGCATTTACCTGTTAATGAGCCTCGTGCCCTGCGAATTTCGGCCGGAATTGAAAGAATGACAATGCCGATCGCCACTGCTGTCCCTCTGTACCAGACAAGATTTCGGCTTCGACGAACCACAACTATACATGCACAGAACAACCACGTAATCTTATACTAATCGGCTACTGATACAAGCACCTATAACGTCTCTATTAAGCTACTTTATAAAAATTTATTGGTTCCATAACATCTGATATATGTACATTTCGCAAAATGCAAATGGTGCAATTACGTTAAAGCCAAATTCCCGTGATACAAGAGAAAATGACATGAAACGTCTTGGGTATGTCGATGATACGGGAAATTCAATGTCACGAAAATAATTCTTTCGTTTGTATTTATAGTAAATATTTTATTCGGCGCAAAGTCGATTTTTGTGTACCTATATCATGGGAAAAAATTCTTTTCTGAAAATTATCATATTGGTTTCAAATATCACTACTAGATAGTCAAAAAATGTCAATTTCAAAGAGATTATCAATTATTGTTCCGTGTGCGCACGCGCGCATATACACAAATATATTTAAAAACTAGATACAGAGATATAGAGAAATATGCATTATACAAGGTGACAATAGATGTTTTAATCTCTTTGAAGTAAACATTTATATACATGTATACACACATACATATACTATAAGTTATATATGTGTAGAGTATTATATATAGAAACTAATTCTATTCTATAACATACGAGATTCTATGATAGAAAAGCAAAGAGTGCTGGTTTTGCTAATTTCTCTATTCCTTCATATGTATAATGATGAATTCCTTCAATGTATAATATTACAAAAGGCAAGATGTTTTATCTTTATTTATTTTTCTATACATAGAATTTTCAAATATGTGGCATCAAAATACTATATTAAATGCTCAAAGCTCAAAGCAATAAAAAAATTAAACTTAATATAAGTAACTTAAATCAAATCAATATGTTGAGGAAAATGTATAATATACATTTAAAATAAATATATTTATATGTCATTGTATTTTTCAATACATGTATATGTATTCAAGTATATTTATAATAATAATACCTACGACAATGTTCATATGTATATATAAAGTATCAAGACATAAGTATTAAAGACAAAATCTGACCGTGTATGTTATGCATTTTCTTCATTTATGTGAGTTCAATTAATTTTTTACGCTTTTTATTTTACCAATTGGCAAAATGCATGTAAAATATATAAAGAATAATTTGCATGCGAATAATAGATATTCATAAGGGCAAGTCTAAGTGCATGCTAAGAAATCTAAGACATTGTAGAAACTAGAATCACAGAGCTATTCTCTTTTCATTCACGTATATGGAATGATGGACTCTATCTCCAAAAATGTCAACGTTTTAAGTGTTAATAATGATATACTGTTTTGTAACGTACAATGAAAGTAGTTTTAATAAATGCATCGCTGTGAATCTATATAGAAGTCATCCCACGGGCATTCTGCGTTGCCGAATTTAAAACTGAGCAATTGAAGTTGGGCATCAGGAAATTTGCGAATTACCTCAATCTGTTCTTGTACAAGCGATGCCTTCCCCTTCCATCAGTCTCCTTATAATCAGTCTCTGTATCACTGCTGCTGTCTACATAATTGATGCGCTCCGACAGATTTGACATGTTGAACCACCTGACAAAAGTAAAAAAACAAACATATGTACATGGTAAGAGAAAGAAAAACTCGCAATCTTTTGTCCTTCCTCTCTTTCCACAGAACCTTGACCCAACGTTTAAAAAATACACAATATGTAGAACTTGTTTTCTTATGCTATGAAAAAAATATCCTAACCTTTTGACAGTTAGCCTAACCTTAAAAAGTTATTTTTATCGAATGCTTAATCTCCATCTCTTTATATAAATTGCATCATCCTTCCTTTATAGTGCCAAGCGACGATTTTAACTGCTATTTTCATATTCTACTCGTCGATACATAATAACATCAAATTTGATTCAAATTTGTGCATTCTATATGTTTATCAACTACAAAAGGTGTTGAAAAAGTGTAGGGAGAAGCAATGTCCTCAAATGAGACTTTCAAGTTTCAAGCCTTCAACGTTTAACCTTCTCGGATTGTCCTTTCGAAGGTGTCTTTCGAAATCTCGACATTCTTATCGAAGATCCGTCAACGATACGTCTCATAATACGGCAGGCAGCCGTATACGACGATACTTACGAGCTCGAGATCGAGAGAAACCAACCGAGCCGTTTTAAAAACCTCTTCGTGGCTTGGCAGATCTCCAGATCGTATGAATCAGCAGGAATCAGGAATGCGGGTTAACCCGATGACAATGGCCCTCCAATTGACGAATGTAATAAATATAACTGCATACGTATCTACTCACTACTACCACTAAATTGCAACGCGATCGACACTGGAATATACCTCGCCATATAAGCCTCGGCAGCCTCGCACAACTGACACAAGCAAATTTTGTTCTGTGTGAATTCTGTTCTAGTGCGGAGAGGTTAAGGTGCACTTGCACCTTGCACTGACTCGCACCGAGCTCCTCCCTCTCACCTATTTGTTAATGGCCGCGCGTTCAGCAGCACAACTGTTGAGTTCGTCTTATCAACGTTCTGCGTTGATTGGTTGGTTCTAAAAGTAAGAGCCAATCACGTTCGACTGCTACTCAGCGGCTTGGTCTGCTGAACGCGCCCATTTTCCTTGCGATTTAGTAAATTACTAGATTTCACCACACAGCACGTGGTATTTCTAGTGATTTATTCGCACGTGATCCAGGATCCAGTACAAAAAATAATATTGAATTATTGTGGATTCGGCTTAAAGTATTAGCGTCGATGTGATGCTATTTTTACGCTGGTGTATAGTGTATATATAATCCTTAAATTAGGGTAGCAATTTATTTATTCATAAACAAATGTCACGTTTATGAAATATACACTTTTTCGTAACGAAGTATTACAACGAAGTACAAAAATACATTTCCCATAACATAATCTGTGTGCAACTTAACTCCTTTATGTCATTTATCTCTCAAAAAAATGATCTCGAATGTGTTAAGCGTAATCGTGGGCGCTTCCAGTTTCGTATATACTTGCTACATCTTGTGCAGACTAACTTATTTCTTGTCAACTTACGGCGATAATGAAAGTTTACACATGGTGTCAGGTACGTCCTTCTTAAATAACGTCAAACTTTGAACAATAGTATAATTATTTTTCAAATAATATATTATTTTATTGTTTTCAGATGAGAATGCAGCTGAATCTACTTTATGGTCTCTTTTAGTGGATATGTTGCTCATTACAATCTTTGTCTTTCAACATTCAATCATGGCCAATGATCTCGTTAAGCAAACTTTCTCTCGACTGCATATCGAACATCTTAGTAGGAGTATTTACAATGCCTGCAGCTCAGCGAGTCTTCACTTCTTGATCAATAAATGGCAGCAGACTCCAGCTGCAACAATGTGGAAGTTTGACACTTCCAACGAGACAGTCTGGATGTTATTTTCCAGCCTCCATGTATTTGCTTGGACTATTATTTATAGTGGATGCATTATGATGGATATTGCTGAGCTCTGTGGACTCAAGCAGATATGGTATAAAGTGTCTGAAAGAAATGGTCCATTGGATACAAAATCTAGGGAACTGCGCAGATATATGAGACACATGAGACATCCTAGTTTTACTGGGTTTCTTGCTATTTTATGGATTTATCCTATCATGAGGTAAGATTTTATAAAATTGAGTTGAATTCTTGACATCTACAACAGCTTAAAAAAATTATATATATAAACTAAAGTAACATCAATTTAAAATTCATGCTAAATAATTTTGAATGCCTTTGTAAAATTGTGTACGATATCTATAAATTAAAAGACAATTTATCGATTTATATGATTCAGAATTTATGCAAATTCTAAATCATATAGAACGACTTTTGAGAACAAATAAAATAAGAAAACTAAAATAATTTTGACGAATATAATTTTTTTTTTACAGTGCGGATCGAGTACTATTGGGCATCGTATTAACAGTGTATATGACATTGTTGTGGACAATAGATTATGAAGACTATAATTATCATAACAGATATTTCAGACAGAAGCAAATAGAATTGTCTTATTAGATTTATCATCTTTCTCTGTCTTGATTTTTCAACGTGAAGGCATTTCTCTGATTCTCGTTAATTTCCTATCATATTTATGAATTTATGCAACAGATTAACATAAATTAATGAACATTATGTATTATACATGTGTAACAAGGATTTATATAATATATTTCATTTAAAAAATCTTAGTTTAACACTGTATATATTCTCTTTATTAATTTTATTAGTAATAAGTGTTAATAATGCGATAATGGGACTGTGGGTATATGATATAATACAAAAATTATTGTGATATTTTATTGAATTTTAGATAATGCAATTAATTTGCTAAAATGACTGAAATACTTTTCTTTAGTAATTTTTAGAATAGATCCAAATATCCAATGAGCGAATTCGTCTTCCAGCAGGGCCTTTTAGAAGCAAATTCTTTCGCGATGAGTAATAAGCGATGGAGCGATAGCCAATGAGCTCTGCTTTTTCCGAACGTCACTAGAAAAGCAGAGCTCTCATTGGCTATCGCTTATAACGCGTCCAATGTGCGAGGGCTATAATAAATATCAAATAGGAGAAAGATGGCGCAACATGTTTCCGTGCATTCACAGACGTATCGCGCGTACATCTCGCGCTAACATGGTTCAATGTTCATTCTTATATACGGATTCTGCGAGGGTGGTCGTGTGGTGCACGTAGGCACGGCCTGGCACGTAATTCCGTGGATTTCTCAACCGTTACCATGTCCTCAGGTACGCTCTCGGTCGACGTGACGACGAGTCCCGGTGGAGAAGGATTTTTTCGAAAGCCTAGGTGACCGGGCGGAGCGTCGTCCGCGCCGCCGTTCTCGCCCTCGCCCCGCGCGTTCGCACCTAACCAAACTCCGCGCGACGTGGTCACCATGCTTTCGATATTTGCACCATTTGCACGAGCTGCTTAGGCGCGCTTCGACACTGTGGGCGCGACAATACGTTCCTCTTAACAATACGCCCGTGTGTATTTTTGCAGGCAAGAAGAACAAGGCCAAGAAGAAGGGAAAGACCGTGGATTTATGGACATACCTCGCCGACGGAAATGGGCAGGCCCCGAATATCCCCATGAAATCGTCCAATTGGGCTGACGATGTAGAGGACGATCATGGTAAGTCGGGGAGGAATCGTCTTTGTCCCAGTTTGAAATCAACGATCGATCGTAGCTTCTAATCAATTCTATAAGAAAATCTTACAGCCAGATTTGTGTGCTACGTATTAAGTGCATCTGTACTCATGCACCAGAATTATATAATTTTAATGCATATAATTATTGTGAGCATTATTTGTGTATATGTATATGCAGGATATACATAAATTATTTTACTACATTACAATTGGAATAAAGGAAGAAATATAGTATAATGCTACAATTTTTTAAATAAGAAGAAACATAAAAGAAATTGACAGTAAGAGAGTCGACGCGGTAATTAGTGCGTAATGTCAAAAGACAAATGTATTTGCATATTACAAATTTCTGTCTTTTGACATTATGCACTAATTACTGCGTCGACTCTTATTGCCAATTTCTTTTATGTTTCTTATTATTATTAAGAGTCCTTAATTATTTTATTATTTTTAAATAAGTTTATATTCTTATTGTATTAATACTTCATATTAATTATTAATTTGACAGAAGGATTTTCATCAAGGAGCAACAAAGATCCGGTTATATTGCCGACTGCTCCAAGGGCTGCACGAGGACCAGGGGTGGATGACGATAGCATCCCTACAAATCCTCCTTATGTAGCCTACATAAGCAATCTGCCATACGATGTAGATGATGAAGATCTGGCAGAATTTTTCGCAGATATGAAGGTTCGTTACTTTTGCAAGTATCTTTGTTATATGTGCTTAATGGCTCACAATATGGATCCCGGATTTTAAAGAATTGAAGACATATCGCAACAAAATAATATTACAGTCTTCAATTTTATTTCCCTTGTATATAGTCACAATTGTGTGTCTTCTTATCATTTTAATATCTATAAATGGCGATTCCTGCATAGAAATATTTCAAACAAATACTTTTATTCTATGTAAGAATAAGAAGAAGGGGGTGACCGTTGATTTATGATCATTCCTGGCCGATAGAAATGAGTCAAATATTCAGTTAAAATGATCTAATTGGGCTTAGTAGGAACTAATTAGTCCCAATAAACATTTTTGACATTGTGTAACTTTGGCTTTGTTCATGTTTTGAAGGTTATCGACTTTAACTAGTAATGTGTAATAAAGTAGAATAATATTTTTCTACTTTAATATATGGGGGTAGCAGGGATTGAACCCGGAACTTTTACTCGACAGGCAACCATTCTGCGATTAAGCTATCCATTACTCCCCAAGTTAACACTTAATTGATATGAAATCTTACTGGAAATCTTGATTGTACATTTTGATAATCAAACATGAAAATTTCTTATTTTCTTTTATCTTTCACAAATCAATTGCAAATTATGCGTTTTCACAGATTTCAAACATGCGTTTGCCAAAAGATGCAAATAAAATTAAAGGCTACGGTTATGTCGAATTTGAGGATCGCCAGAGTCTAATTGATGCTCTTTCTATGACAAATACGGTAAGCAAATGGTACTTAACATTTATCGGCGATAAAAATAGGAGCTGCTGAAAATAATGTCATATCTCTTTCCATATAGACCATTAAGACGAGACGCGTGAGAATTGAAGTCTCGAATAGCAGTAACGATGATCGTCGAGGTGGTAGGATGGGTAGAGACAACCGTAGGGACAATTACGATGATCCGGAACGCACGTCCGGCGACTGGAGAAGTGGACCGCGCGAGGATTTGTCGGAAGGAGATTCTTATCGCAGTCGATACGATAACAGGGACCGATTTGACAACAGAGAAAGTATGCACATTTTAATCTAAATTTCACAATTGCGGAGAGAAATGAAAGCTTCGATGGAGATAAATTCTCGAAGAAAAAATTTACAATAAACATTTTTTATTGAATAGGACACGATTACGATAACAAGCCAGGTGCATGGCGCGAGAGAGACAGCAACGATAAAGGATCCACTTTTAAAGAGAGGGCTGGCTTCAGAGATGATAGCAGGGACAGAGACAGGGCATGGCGCGAGAAAGACAGCAACGATAAAGGATCCACTTTTAAAGAGAGGGCTGGCTTCAGAGATGATAGCAGGGACAGAGACAGGGACAGGGACTGGAATCGTTTTGGCGATAGAGGGAGAAGCAGAGACAGAGACGGGGACAGGAGCAGCAGTTTCGGGCCACGTCGCAATTATGGCGATTCCGATTGGAACCGTGATCGTCAGCAAGATCGTGATCCGAAACGTAAGTGTACGATTGTTCAATACTGTAAGATACGTGAAGAATATCGCATCTCTACTGTAATTACCGATATTTTTATGATTATTCAGCGGCGGAGTCACGACAAAGACCGAAACTGCAACTACAACCTCGCACGAAACCCGTCGAGTCCATCGCAGCTGCGGAAGATTCAACAGCTGACAGTACGACGGAATCGAAATCAACGGCAGATTCGGAATCAACTCAAAGAGCGCCAGCGCCCGTGCCAGCAGCCAATATTTTCGGTGCTGCGAAGCCTGTAGATACCACTGCCCGTGACCGAGAGATAGAAGAGCGTCTCGTCAAGTCGTACGCGGAATCACGATCCCGAGAAGAAACGTATGTATAATATACGCAAAACTGTTAAATTATATTAACGTAAATTATTTCATTATTTATTTTTCGGAATTTTACCGAAAAAATTGTGTCATTTCATGTCAAGGATACTTCGTTGTATTTTCATAAAATTTGCGTAATAATGTTCGTTTCTATTAAAAATTCTGACGTGTTTTCTCTCCAGGGACACTAAAGAGCGTAGAGAAGGTACTTGGGGTCGACGTAATGGCGTAAGTATTTCAAACTGAGCACGAGGAGTACGTCTATATCTATAAAAAGTCGTGACTTAAATAATTTCCGCTTGCAGGAAGGACGCGACGACAAAGACAAGGACAAGGAGAAGGAGAAAGAGAATGAGAATGAGTATGAGAATGAGAATGAGAAAGAGAAAGAGAAGGAGAGGGGTCGACCAGCTTGGCGATCGGAAGAAGATAGAGGCGCTCGGCTTGAGAGATCCGCGCCACGATCTCAACCAACGCCTACTCGTTCTGGTAAGCTTCTTTCGCTTTTAAACACTCTTACAAAATTTCTTTATTTCGCATACAGACATTGATAAATGTAACATATATATTTTTAATTTTAAAGTAGAGGAGCAAAGTGGATCCAAAACATCACCAACCCCTCGTTCTGGGCCGCCGACATCCAAAGGACCTCAGAAACCCGTCGAGAAGGATATTCGTGCGGCGGAAAGGTAATAACAGAGAAAAATACATTTTTTTAGCAACACGCGAGATTTGCGCTTACTCAAATTTTATTTATCATTAATAATAGATATGGTCGTTATAATATACAATTAAATTAGAATAAAACGCCATTTACGGTCCGAGCTTGGATCTTAGTAGTCTAATATTTTTTTATGTATTACACATATTTTTTCCCCAACCTTAGTAAACTGCGCGCCGACTAAATTGTTTCTAACATAGCTCCCTTACTTATTGTTTGCAGGGATCGCAAAGACAAAGAAAAAGATGAAATCAGTAGAATGCCGAAAGCTAAAGACGAACAAGCTCCGGTGAGTAAAATTAATTCATGTGAAACTATGATTGATGAATAGAGATGTAGCATTAAAATATTCTTTTTTTTTTTCCTAAAGAATTTTGTAGCTTCCAACAAATATTCCATGCTACCTGATGATGTGGATCCCGACAACATCGATGAATAGTCTTAATTGATTACAATTTGCATCACACACCGACTAAATTGTGCCACATGCAAGACACAATTATGCGTATCATTAATATAATTGGTTTTACTTCTACCATTACATGGATTTGTCGTAGCCAGGCATTGTGCTCTTGGTACTACTTTACTGGAATTATTGTTGATTTGTATTTAATCTCTATTTTAAAAAATATTCTCAATATATAACTATATATTTCTATATCAACTTATATATTTACTTTATATTTCGGCACGAAAAATTTTGGCATTGTTAATCCCCAATGTCGTAAATTTCTCGTGATTATCGAATAAATTGCGTCAAACTTTTTGTATGATTCCAAGAATTATTACACTGTATGAGGTGTAGCAATTGGAACTTTATACATCATAATTAATCTGCTGTACAGTAATTGTACGATATTGTGACTCGTTTACATGTAATATAACAATGCCAATATAGAAGGAAATTAAAATAATAAGTATATGGGAACACAAATATTACGTCGTACTTGAATTATTTCTCACCACATTAATCCCTGTGTATTTATATAAATATTTATATTATATAATTATACATTGAAAACAATTTGAAATCGATTTACAGGATGTGTGAATAGCGAAAACATACTTTTATAATAAATATTCATTATCAAGAATCACGGTCTTGCAATGCTTCTATATAAAAATTAATATATATTTACATATTCTCGGAATATATCTATGTTACATTATTGATTCCAACTCCTACTGCTGTTGAGTAGTCTGTGCTAATTGACGTAATTGTTTTAATACAGTTTCAAGTAATTTCTTCTTATCTCTTTCGCTTTTCTTTAACACAGAGAACACCGTTTTCTTATCAGACTCTTTCAACCTAAAAAGATGTATGTCAATAAAACGATGCACATTAATACACGCAAAACAAAGATGCAAATAGCATGTGTAATACATACTTTTCCAGCAGAAGCACAGCCATATTCGGGGTTACTAAATCATATTTATTAGAGTCATGACCGTAGTCGTGAAAATAAGTAGGCCAGTCCCAACTCATAAATAAATCTAGTAACTGTCGTAATTGCGAAAAGTACTGCAATAAGATTCCTTCTGGCAAACCAACGACTGGCTCAGAAGCAGCAAATTCTGGAATTTTATAATAATTTGATTTGAATTTTTATATTCTTAAGAATATATATTAGTGTTAAATAAAAAAATATAAAAATTTACGTTCGCATTGTATCGTATCTAAATTAACTTGTTGCAATGCACCCATGGATATCTGTTTCACATCTTCACTAATTAATATGCCTAATATGGCCTTAGCGATGTGAGAACATGCGGATTTGCATGCCACTTGAGCTACTTCAGCCTGAAATATTAATTATCAATTATTATATTTTTATATTTTCAAAGACACATATATATATATATATATATATATATATATATATATATGTATAATCGCATTAATTTGCAATACTTACCGGTAAATTAGTGAAGCATGTTAAAGTACTCTGCAAAAACGCAATAAGATCCGTAATGAATCCCGAAGCATGTCCTTGAGGTTCCGCCAAGTTCCAGTCGTAATTCTCCAATTCTAAAAATTCATCCAGCTTATTCTTCAGTTTATCGCAAATCTGCTTCTCAGCATCATCTCGCGCGACTCGAAACATAGCAGATTCTACGTCCATGCAACTTAATTGTCCTTGATGCGGTGTGCTAGAAAAATTTGGACATAATTTAATAGCTTACAAAGAGCTAAAAAAGAAGGATATAATGATTGTTAGATATTTACCCAGTAATATTAGTCACAAATTCTTCTAAATATTTTGTCGATTTCTCGAGATATCCCGTATTTATTATAATTTGTACTACTTGCAAAAGTGCTAAGGATGGCTTGCGAAACAAAGATGACAAGCATCCGCTGAAAGTTCTGGTTAGTAACAGATTCGTTGATTTGCATATCATTTCGTCAATCTCCGTTTGCGTGAAGTTCAAGTCTTCAGAAAATTTTAAGCAAGCGTAGATAAACTCTTTTACTTGCTGATAAACCTTCGGTACCATATCAGAAAATGGAAATTTCTTTGGAAATTCAGCTTTTTGCAATTCCTCGTCGTGATAAGGAAATAGATTCAAAACTTGGTCGTATTCTGCTTGCGTTGTAACCTGGAACGTAGTAACCGAGTAAATAAACAATTTAGCAAAACTCAAGTGTTTCATAAGTATGAATGATAATTACTTGAATTGGCAAGAAATTATCTTCGTCCAAAATATCCCTGAATACTTGCACCCAATGTTGCATTAGCACTTCGTTGTAATGAACTCTAATTTCTTGTAACAAATCCCATAGTTGTTCTACGGAGTAGCCGTAATCCTGTTAATAGATAATAAAGAAACAATTGAATTACACATGTATATATACGTATGAACAATAAAGGCTGAATGCACTTTGTTACTTACCCTTAGAGTAGTATTGAATAACATAATAAGATTTTTTATTTTTAGTATAAGTGTAGCGTCTGTGCAATATGCCTAAAAAAATATAAATTCTCTTATATTAATTATAATTATATAAAATATAGCACCGTATATAATAATTTACCGAATGCGTGCGTAAAGCATTCACTATGGTGGACAATGCCATGGTCCAAAGCTCGTCCAAGTATGCGCGAGTAGCTAGTCCGTTTCCTGTATTCAATATGTGATCTTCTACCACAAAGAAACCAATGATACCGTGTAGATAAGTCTGATATCCAACTATACTCTCGTGCTAAAAATAAAAAGATATCTCGTTACGGGAACACATGCAGATAAAGCAGTACTCGGTGAGCGAATTTACCATGTTGATGGGTGGCTGCAAAACTAGTCTAGCTTGCTGCTTTCTTTGTTGCCTATAGTACGTTTTGAAAGTGTCTCCTTCCCGGAGCACAGTATAGATATGCATACATCGATACACGGGACTGAAATCCATTAAATCTTGAGCGCTCAGTTCCTCCTCGATTTCGTTTGACTGATTCGGGTGAGATCTCTTTTTCTTCCTTCCTATAATTTCGGCCTCAGTCGCTAACTGTTCGGCGGTCTAATAAAAAGTTGCCAAGTTAATAAATTATACACCGATAATAGGTCTACCCAGTTAACAATAAGTAAAAATAAAAGAAAATTACTCACATGCCTCATTGCAACTTCCCCGATCTTTGGCGAATGCTTCCTTATATTTTCAAGAAAATCTCTCAAATCAGACATAGATGCATCCTTAATATTCTCGCGCAATCTGGAACGAGAAAAACGATTCCACAACGTTTTTTGTAATATCGCACATAAGAGCAAGATACCTGAAAAAAGATTCTTCCAACTTACTGCGGAATTTGTTGCGTAATTTGAGAGGAAAATCTATAATTCGTAACTTTCGGCAGATCATGATGCTCCAACTGCTCCAGCGTTTTCAAGGCTGGATAGTAACGTTTATCCTTTAATTGTTTCTGCAACTTGGCATACGCAGCTAAGACAGGAAGGCACATAGTGAGACTGTCTACAGCAGCAGCCATGTTGCTCTCGACTTTGCGAGCTTTTACGAGTTCCTCGCCCTTCTCGATCACCTTGGTGGACGTGGCGGTGATGCATTTGTCAAGTTCCAATATCTCTGCCTGCGTAATGACAAGGTTGAATCAGGATTAAAGAATACCTTACATATTAAAAAATGCACGTTGCTGCATCAAAGAGTCAAATATTCCTGTTGCTAATTATTTTAGCAGCAAAACTAACATTCAACTGTTGCGCCTGCGAGCGAACTTGTAAGAGCTCCCGAATAGAATCGATGAATCCCTGATAGTGATGATTGCACATCCTCTCGATGTCCTTGTCATGAGCCTTAATACGGTCATCGAGCTTCTCCATAAATTTCTGATGCTCGTGACCATCGTAAATCGCTCTGCAATATAAACCAAACGTAAGGACAGTTTCCATCGTCTTCTAATAATACAGATTTTTTTATCTGGAAATGGACGCCTGATTTTTTCTTTGTATAAAATCAATGCCTGAGGCAATTTTTACACTCCAATTAAAAATCATTACTAGTAATTACAAATTACATATTCTCAATTGTTTTATAATTTATTAATATTTGAGGACATGTATATAGATTTATTCAACACTTTTAAGAGAAAATAAAAAATATTTTACAAACGAAAAATGCATATTAAAATTACTGTGACGCGAACTTAATTTTTTCGATACCGTGGTGTAAAAATCAGCCCAGGCGCCAGGCGACTGTTCCCGGGTGAATTATATATATGTGGTTCACCAATTGCACCCTGACAATACCTGAAAACGAGGCCTATGCTATTAGTGTCAGTCGATTCTATCTCATAAAGTAGGTACTCGTGTTTCGGCACCATCGACGACAGAAGATTCTGTGCCAGATTAATTGACATACTCGAGACCGAGTCGCGCGACCGCAAAATTGGAAATTCGCTCGGGAGGACGAGCTGGACGAGTTATACGCAGAATGGGCGCGTCTATGATTCCATCCCTCTTCAAAGCCACCCCCTCGAGCGCATATGCGCATGCCGCGGCCCGCGAGCTCGTCGCATCTGCGTGAAGGGGGTGGATTCTGATCGGGGGCGGGCGCGTATTTTAATTTCCGACTTCCATCCCCGATCCGTTTTGATTTTGCTTACCGGAACGTCGGGCCCAGGTAGTCGTCGATGCCCTCGATCTCCTGGATCAGGATGTCGTCCCGCTGCATCGTCGCTGAATTCGAGGGTCACGTCAGCGGTCAGCTGTCGGCTGTCAGCTGTCAAAGCGACGAGTTTGATCAGTTTGAC